GATAAAAAAAATCTTTCTCCCCTGCTTTCTAAGTGGAACATAGGACTCGGTGTTTGAGCTATGAAGTTCCAATAGCTGTTGCTAGCCTCACACAGAAAAATTCCCTCTTTCCAGCGTTTACTACTTACTGGCTAGACAAGGTTTAAGAGTATGTCGACCGGAAATCGAACCCGAACCACACGCATGGTTGGCGAGCATCCCTACCACTGAATCATTTGCGCACATGATGATATCACAGTTATTTTAAGATTAGTATAATTAATGATTATCTGTTCATTAGACAATGTTCAAAGTGATACTCTAAATACAAGTACCGCTCAGATTGCTCTCTATGGTCAAAAGATATAACACACTTGTTCATTTTAAGAATCATGAACATATAATGTCATTGTTATTGTGCACTTTTTGCAAGTATTCATTTTTCTAAATCTCAAGTTCATACAAATTATTTTTACTTATACTTTAAAATGTACGTATATATTAATAAATATCGTTATTTTAATACATTTCTCATTTAGGGTACGGCATTGGGTATGTGTCCAAAGGATAAACTATTTCGTGGTTATATTGAATTGGAAATTCAACTGAGAGAATTTGATAGATGTCGTAAACTGTATGAAAAATTCCTTGAATTCTCTCCTGAAAATTGTACTACATGGATGCGGGTATGTTAGTTGTTTTTTTGGGTTCTTTGTCGGATTTTCATGAAATTTGTTGACGAAAGTCCGCAGATTACAGTAATATGCGGCATATATATATATATATATATATATATATATATATATATAATTCTAGTCGCTATAAATTAGTTGATGTTAGAAGTCAGTCGTTGAGATGTCCAGCTTTTATGATTCTCTGAACTGTTAGTCGATGATTCTTTGAAATTCTGTATCTAAACTGTACAAGTTTTACTTTCAGAGTGTGATAATTGTTAAGAATCATGAGATATATGACTATTATGTTAGCCTGACTCCTAACATTTAACATTGAAACAAAATATGCCACAGTAGTTATGTTATATACTTACTTACTTTACTTTACTTCGGCTGTCTCCTACGGGAGGATGAACCGGCTTCATGAACATCTCGAATGTTTGTAAGAGAGTTGATGAAGTTTCATGGAAATCGGGTACGAGTGATGTCCCCAGCATCGCTCAGCCTTTTGTTTGAGAGTACAGCTCTAGCCTTTACACAACCAAGTGTGACCTACAAGGCAGAAGGAGTGGAGTAGGGAATCCACTATCCATTGGCAGCCGGTGACCGGAGTCCGGTTCATACGCCTTTTTGAATGGGGCCAGACATCCAGGGCATCCAATAAGCCCTTTGTCCATACGTCTGCCGGTGAACTCCGGTGAGCTTCATACGCCAGTCGTTGAAGGTTTGGAATCAGGGTTTAGCCATCTCCCCTAGACTGTCATCCAATGGACAGTCAACCCGGTGAAGAGCGCCGGGCATCCGCTTTTGCCCTCTCACTTCGGTGAAATAAACACTTCCGCCACGTGAAGGCAGTGAGTAGGACTTCCTCAGGAGAGGCTATGTAAGACGCACGGTCATATGGGAGCATTTCAAGAGGTGTACGGAGGGGTGGCTAACCCGCGGCGCGAGACACCCACCCCCGACCATCCTGATTGATGAACTTTAGTGAGGGCATTAAACTCGGTGTCTGCACTAAGCATTGTACAGCGATCAGTTGAGTAGGCTAGAACATATGAGTGAATAATTGTTGACTAGATTAGGAAATAAGGTGTACCATTTCATATTAAGCAAATTTGCTTTATATGTGTTGGTTGATACTGGGTCTTGATTTGACCACCCCTAGCTCTTTGCCAACATAATCCTATATCAGCTAACATTGCTAGACGACGAAGGTGGTGGCTCGACATGCGCGACACATGTCCAAGCCATCTCAGTCAATGTAGCTTCACAAGCTCACTGATTAACTTTCCTTCCTAACCCCATATCCTACACCTAACTTCACTATTGCTCACCAAATTATACTACTTAACATGGAGGAAAAAACGCACACATCTGTGGTCAAAGATAGCTAGTCTTTTTATATCCTACTTTAACGGCTACATCTTACAGCCATAAAGAAAGACAGAGAACACTGCTGTGCAGGACACCCCTCCTTTGGTCGGAAAGCATGCCTACGTCAGAGACGACGAAAGTTAGCAAATGCCATACGAGCCTTCTTTATCTGTGCTGAGATTTTGTCACCAATCAATCCATTATGATATGTGCAACTTCCCAAATAAGTCAAGTGACTAATACGCCGTATCACCCCATCTCAAGTAGTTCACTCCATCAGTTTCACATTATCCGCAGGTAATGTCTAAAATTGTCCTGAAAATATAATTTCTGACAAGGATTTGAACAACAATACCATCAACAGTTACATATTACTTTATGCTACTGCTTTACACAGTATATCTATCAACAAATAATGTTGACAATATATCTCACAATAGTATAAGGATATTGAATTTCCGTATTAAAACACCATCATTCCGAATAACTCCATTCACCAAAACATTTGATCCGTTTTTGTATTTTGGGGCTTCGCGAAACATATCGATGTGTATAACCAGTTTATAAATGCTTATTCTATCACTCATCGTCGTCTATTTAATGTAATCCAGTAATTTTCATTACAAAACTAAAGGTTTATAATTTCTCTCTTCATATATCTATATATCAATTATTAAACAAGTATGCAGAATTAGAAAGTCTCCTTGGTGAAACAGATCGTGCACGCGGTATCTATGAACTAGCAATTAATAGACCTTTGTTAGATATGCCAGAATTATTATGGAAGGCGTATATTGACTTTGAAATTGAACAGTATGATTGGGAACGAGCTCGTTCACTTTATCGACGATTATTAAGTCGAACAAAACATGTTAAAGTGAGTCTGTTTTTCATTATATATATCTGTGTGTTATTCTGAAAATGTTGAATGGGATATTTTTAATTAATACATTCTTATTGTTCGACTATGGTATACGAAATCAACGACCTTTTGCCATAAGACTATGAAAAATAGAATAATGGAAGTACTACCTATTGCAGTAGTGATAACAGCATCCAAGAGTTGTTCACATGAGTAGTACTTTATTCACCGTTAATCATACTTGATGTCTGTAAATGTATTTCTGGAAATGGATTGGACATACCTCCAGATTCACTAATGTAACGCGAATGGGAAGGGACGGGTTGGGCGTCCGAAGGTTGACATAGAGATCATGTGAAGTGGAAGCTTCTGAGTGGTTGTAAAGCCAATAAAGACCGATAGCAGAGATCAAAGTGCAATGGAGGTGTTTGCCGCTAAAACCATATATTCCACTCAAAACCAATAACAATATTGTACGTATCTCAGCTTTATCGCAAACCTTTGGGAGAGTAAACGTATCTGGGTGGTGGAGCAAACAGACAAATAATAAAGTCGAAAGCGTAATGAGGACCACCTTTATCTCTTTATATCGTATCTTTGTTTTGATTTTAGTTTAGATATCATTCTACTTTAATTGTTGCAGTGTGTATAAAATATATCAGATTTTTGTAAAAATAGAGATTAAATACTATCATCAATATACATATATATATTTTTTTCACTAATAGGTATGGTTAAGTCTTGCCAACTTTGAATTATGTGCATTGAACAAACTGACAGCCGACGATTTAGACGACGAAGATTTAGAGCATTTGAAAAATGTTGAATTGAACAAAGAAACATTACTACAAGAACACAATGAAAATGAGATTAAAAAGGCAATAGAACGTTCACGGAAAGTATACCAAGAAGCAAATAAAGCCTTGAAGTATATAGAGGATAAAGAACAACGTGTTCGTCTGCTTGAAGCTTGGAAAGAATTCGAGGTGTGTCAGTATTTTATGTATAACTTTTCGCAAAAAGTTTTATACTTATTCCAGTTTCATTCCTTAGCGTTCTTAGTGCAAAAATGGAGCTTCAAGCTTTTGAAATTTGAAGTTTTAGCAGCCGTAGTTTTATATCTTTACGGGGTGGGGATACTAGCCTCACGCCAAATCTCCCCTCTTCCCGGATTACTACCGGTTAGTAAACTAAGTGAGGTTTAAGAATGCGCCGGCCTGAAGTCTTCGTTGAACCACCGACAGCAAGCGTTTTATACTTATAGACTAATTAATTCCTCCTTATACAGATTGGGAGCACCAAATAATGCATGTAGCAGAGTTATATTGCCATTTCATAATATACTGACGTCAAATACTTTACGCAATAAAAAGAGTGAGCAGCGGTTTATTACCTACTTCAACACCTAGGGAACTGGATGTTACCACCAGTAGTCCTCTTGCAATAAATGTGGCTCATAGCCTTACATATCAAAGGTTTTTTCCAGGTACATGCCTTCTAACTAACTGGCGTTCGCTTTTACCGTACTGTAATCATTCCACTCGCATCTTCGTAGTCTCACATCTACACATGTTTTGAAATATTTTTTAGTACGAATATGGAACTGAGAAAACGCAACAAGATGTTGACAAGTTACAACCACAAAAAGTTGTGCGCAGTCGTCGGCTTGGTGATGAACGCAGTGGTTGGGAAGAATACATTGAGTATTCATTCCCTGATACCGACGCAGAAAAACCAAATCAAAAACTACTTACAATGGCTGCAAGGTGGGCAGAACAAATGGAGAGGAAAAAAGCCGCTGCAGCAGCCGAAGGCGAAGAGGATGATTCTAGTGAAGAATCTGAAGAAGAGGAGGACGACGACGAAGAAGAAGAGGATGACGAATTACAAGGTGATGAAGATGATAATCGCATTCCTGAAAGAGAACCCACATGGTTTGAACGCAAGAATATGGAGGAGATTGAAATCGACGAAGACAGTGATTAAGAAAAGACAATCAATATTTTTAATATCCTATGTATATTTTTCCCTGTACAGTCAAATGTATTTGTTTTTGTTTATTCAGTCAGACAGATATTTAAAAAAAAAATAATATTGAAGTGAAGTTTTTTTTATAGTTTTGCTTCATTTTGTGGCAACCAGTCTACTATGACAGAACACTCTGATCCGTTGAAAAAGTACCAATTACCGTGCGGTGCACCTTTCCGTGTTACAACCTGTGATACACGATAAAAAACAAAACATTTAAGATAATCAATAATACGGTCGATGGGTCAACGTGAAATTTTATACAGATATACGTCAAAACATTATCTGTCAACCATGAATATTACAACTCAATTTTTAAACAGCTTGCTTGAAGTTGACGTATTATTGAAGAGATACTAGATTGTTTATCAGCTCAATTGTATCTTCTGTTATGTGAGTGTTCAAGAAGTTTGATGCATGTTAAGAGCTAACGACCGATTCATATGGTAATTAACAGCATACACCTACTATACCAGGGGGTGGAGGCCTATTCCTGTTAAATTCTCAACCGTGTTCATTTTAATATATTGCGTAAACCGAAGTAGAAAAAGGTTTTTCACGTGCAGTCTAGAGCTTGTCTCAAATCTTTATGAGAATGACTTTAGGTATCAGTAAGTCAAACAATTCAACAGAATAGGCATACATCCATTCACGTTAGGATCACGTGGTAGTGTAGTATCGTATCAGATTATTTGTTACAAAAATCAGGTCAACAATAAACAAAAAGATGGTAGACAGTGCTTGTTGTCTTTGATTCATTCATTCTGTTGTTTTTTAACAATTTGCGGATTCATTTAGAATGTGATAAGTTGTACTGTAGTAAATTTCATACAAAAACATAGATGATTTGAAATAAATATTAATTGTGAATCAAATATGTATACTTACCCTGATTACTTCCTGAGATACTATACCACCAAGTACTGGATTAACAGCTGGAAACAATGGACCAGAACAGCATCTGTTGTGTACAGAAAGACGAATATAATCCATAAGCATCAGATAAAGTATGAGTATATTACAAAAAAAGCTTGGGCTACGTACTAATTGCTTGACCCATGATTTTTCTGTCACGATATATATGACTCACAGTCTGATGCAAGAATGGATGAAGACTAATCCAATTTAGAAGTTAATTTTTATTTAAACTATGATCCAGATAGCATTCAGCTGTCTAGGAGATACATTCATGAAACTTTCCACTGAATCCATGAACAGTAGTAGTAGTACCTTGTCGACATAGATACTTTGGATGATTACACTTAAAAACATCACTTGTATATTGTAGGTTCCTCATAAGCAATACAGAGGTTATATTACGGAATAATGAAATTAAGTTAGAGTGCCTATGAATCTTCAATCATCAGGATAACTGAAGGTGTTACTCACAGAAAATTAACTTCATATGCTAGTGACCAGTCGATGTAAAACAATTCTTTATCACACAAAATGCTAATTAGGTTAGGGAAACTAATGGATTGCAGTAAAATTATAACTTATAACCTTTTATATAGTTGTTGACAATGGAATTGGGCAGTGTGCAATCATCTTTGAGCGGAATCCAAAATTACTGATAGCTAATTTTCCCCTATCTCTTTTCAAGTTTTAGGAATCTTTCACTTAAATATTTACACTTTACCTGGTTAGTTATAATACATCCCATCATTTTGTTGTGGTCGTTATATTAGAGCAACTGATGTGCAATCATCTCATCATCTTTACAATATTTAATTCTGTTTTATGGTGAGGTGAATGCACTGTGAACAAACTGAATATTTAGAAAAAAAATTACTACTGAATGAAGCCTTGCGTGTCGAATCCACTTGTAGTCCAAAATTTAGAAGTATAACAATTCATGTTGGAAGTTTCCACATTTTTTCAGTACACAACGATGATGATAATATCATCATATCCAGCTGTGTATGAATCAGCAATGAAATACACAATAATTACTTACTCTAAATCTTCAGTAGAAAGAAGTGTTTCTTCTACGCCCAACTGTTGTGACACTTTCTGCCACTGGGACTGTAAATATGGTAGAGTGAATGGCGCTTGATCAATGCAGCACTGACTTAAAACTATAAAGAAGATGAATAATAATATTAATAAAACTCTGACGGCAGTCATGCATTATCATAAAGAAACCAATTTCATAAGATTCTCACAATTCGTTATTTCTGGTAGCTAGAACAGGATCAATACCAATGATATATGTTCGAAACGATGAGCAACACTCTTCACGATAGCTCAAGGTCTTGTTTTCACATTCAATCTTTGTTTAATGGTAGCTGGTTTTGTGGCTTAACGGTATTAAATTCTATCCACAAACTTTCATAAATGATTACTAGCTGTTAAGACACAAATGTATTTCTGGAATTGAACTCTCAACCATGCACATGGTTGGCGAGTGGTCCTACCACTGAGCCACCCATGCGACATAGTTATATAATTACGAGTTTTTAGTTATTTGAAGAAAATTTCAGATGTTTGGTGGAATTAGAAGAAAGAGATACCCCCTCTATCAATAATCTCATGTAAAATATGAAATACATGTTCTAATAACTGCAGGTGACAACAAAGCATATAAGTTCACATGTCTAAAAGGGTGTGTAAATCAACAATTAAACTACAGATTATGTAACTTAAATTTAGTTCTAATTGATATTAATATCGGTGATATTGGAATACTAGAGAGAGAGAACTAGTCAGTCAGTGAATGTCAACTTGATGAAAGCAGTAGTGTCCCAATACAGTTTAAATAATGTTAAAATATCACTTTAATATTACTGTGCGTCGGTGACACAGTGGTTAGGACTCTCGCCGACCATGCACATGGTCCGAGGTTCGATCCCCTGCCGACGCACACCTGACATCCATGGTTGGCCTGCAAAATTTGGGCTACCGATATCCATGCTGAAAATTCCATACTTGTACCAAAAATACAGTGTGGAATCAAGCTGTAATCAAAAATTTCAAAAAAAAATTTACTAAAAACGTACCTTGCATAAGGAGAAATCCTTTAGGAATGAATTTCACATCTGATTTACTCTCCTTCATTTTGTTAGTAATAAGAGATAAACTTTCTGACAGCGTACAATAGTTGAACGTCTACAAGAAAAAGTATGCAGGGTATAGTGAGCTATTTTAACACAGAGAGGAATAATCATAACAATACGAACCACTGATTTTAAAAAGATTACTGACATCTACAGGAATTTTTCAACGTATATACGGCTTGAATAAGCATGATCAACAACCGTATGAGTGTTTACACAACTGACAATGGCACATGCTTCATTTCTGAGGGTTAAGTATATTTTTCTCTATGTTAATCAACAGTAATCTTATCACAATAAAGTAAAATCTACTAAATAATTAACAAATCCTCTTTTTTGAAGAATACTAGTGTTAATAACAGTTGAGAAATCTGTTAAGAATTAGAAATCGTTACAAAGTTTAGTAGAATGGAAAAAAATATTTGCTTGCACCAATAACTAATAAATAACAGGAGGCAAAATATCTGAGTACTGTGATCACTTTTTTTGTTTCGTCATCTTTAAAAATGAATTAATAGATTTAAGGCAAGCAGGAAATATTTATAATTATCAATGGCTTAGCCAAATGAAGTTCAGACACCAGGTTAGGAGGAAGGTTTTTAATTATTGGCACTTTGAAAAAGTTTGTCGACACTGTGACGACATACCGTATACTTGGTTATAAAAAGTCAATCAGTTGGTGAAATGATGTAGAAGGAAAAGAATTTCCAAGTGCCTGAATGAGTCACCTGGAATTCATATGATCCCATCTGCTATCACACAAGTCATTTGGTTTCAAAGTACTTGACAAATAAAAATAAGTACTACAAGTTCCAAGTACAGTAGCGTCAGGTTGACAGCTTATTGAATACCTGTAGTTCCCTAATCTGCACAATCAGTTTCAGCCAAAGACCTTATAGGCAGAAACCAAATTTTACCTACAGTGAATTCACTTGGTATATGAGGCAGTACTGTAACCGTAAAACAAAGATTCATTGTCATTAAGAGGGAAATTCGGATACAGTTTTATGTAGGCTTTATATTCAGTTGTATTGATAAATCAAAAGCTGAGAGACTACCTTCCATTCAAGTACTGGAACGTTTTTTTCCACTATATACGCAGAGTAAAATTAACCTGTTTGCCGTCATTTTTATGAGTCATTCGTGATGTGTAATAAGTACTACATAAAAAAATTACACCTTTAAAGCTATTTAAACAGCAATTTAATAATATCGTGTAAAAGGTAGGTAGCATTATACTGTGCACTTTTTAGGACCAAAAGAAAAAACATTCTTACATAAAGATTAAACAGGAAATAATCCAAATTACCTTTTTCACAAGAAGTGTTTCTGTATTTGACTCTTCACTGGCCTTATTTAACTTTGCAGCTGAACCAGATGGAGCTGCTGGTACTGACCTCTTCTTGATCACAACATCTTCACTAGCAAACGAAGGGAGAAGAGTGATAGCTTATATATATATATATATATATATATATATATATATATATATATATATATCCCAAAACAGAACTTAAACAAAGTTACTTTGTAAGCCAATACATATACGACAGACCCGTTGGGACTGTAAAGACCCTTGTAACTAAACGTTTTTGAGAATAATATATAAATATTCAAAGATATTATTTATTTATTTAAACGCATAAAAAACTTGGTACAATATGGCACCAAGAAAGATGCGCCACACATTAATAATAAAACAACATAGATCAAAAAAAAGGAAGGAAGGAAAAGAAAAAAAAATATATAAGTAGAGAACGGATAAAGAACTTCATCTGGAAGGAAGACAGTCATGCTTAACAAGTTCAAACAGTGTTTGTTAACTATCATTGGGAAGGGAAGAAAGAAGGAAATTGCAACACATTCGCCATTGATTACGATTCTTGACCATATCCGATAACGTTTCGAGCCATCGATTTGAGCTATCTCTCGGACCCCAACCAGGGAGTCGTGACACACCAACCGATGCTAATCTAGCACAAAAATCCTTCATCCCACGACGCCACGTCATGGACTGACCACCTCTCCGCCTTTTCCATCCCGTCCCAGGGCTAGCGAACAGAGACCTGTACGGAAGCCTCTGGGGTGACATTCGGAGCACATGTCCAAGCCACCGGAGCCGGTGTTTGCAGATGACGACTTTTAATGAATGGTGATCTCCACTCTGTTCAAACACACGCCGCCGAACCTCAGAATTACTCACGCGACGATGCCATCGAACGCAAGCAATCCTGTGGAGACAGCGGTGATCGAACACGCAGAGTCGCCGCACATCCTCAGCTCGGAGAGGCCAGATTTCACAGGCGTAGAGCAGCGCAGCCCGCACCGAAGCATTGTATACCCGACCTTTGACAGCCAGGCTAACGTCGCCACGGCGCCATAGGTGGCTCAAGTTGATGTATGCCACCCTAGCCTTCATTATACGGTTGGAAATCTCATCCGTCACCCCTCCGCCAGCACTCACACAACTACCCAGGTACACAAACTTATCAATAACTTCAAGCGGTTCACCCGCAAGAGTGAGTGCAGGTACAGGCTCCCGCCAATCTTGTAACAGTACTTTGCACTTAGACGGCGCAAAGCACATACCATACTTACATACACTGATTGCCAACTGATTAAGTGCGATTTGGGCAACCTGCATGCTATCGCACAGTAAGACGATATCGTCTGCATACTCGAGGTCGAAAAGATATGCTTCCTGATTGACATGATCAAGTGATAGCTGTTTATTATTAACCGAGTTCATTGATTTAACCAACATATGTCACGAAAAAATTGGCTAATTTATCCAAAAAAGTGATGTGATTTTACAAGGAACAAATGGATCGATATTTTTTCCACTGTTTTATCGTATGATGAGAAGTTACCCTACACTAGCTTCCTATATTTTGAATGACAACTTACTGTTTATTTAAGGTTAAGTACCTAAGAAGACATCAAGGTAAGTTCAAAAGTTTACGACCAAACCACCTGTGCTTGGCAACTGGTTTTCAGCTCACAGTTGTGAACCAGTGGAACTCTTAGCTGCAGCCCACCTGTATTTTCCATGAATACACCTACATTTAAATCTGACCTCTATGGTATTGTTGACTACAAGAACTAGTAAAGGTTGATGACCTAATATTTTCATTCTTTGGTGGGTGAATTAGGGACATTAAGCTAATTCATGGATAATCCCCATCCAGGCATTAATGAAAACAAAACACGTAGATCAGCGAAGAGTCTCTTTTCGGCGAATTCATTTTCTTAGCTGTACAATCGCAAATATATATGCATTGTTTTGTATGTATGTGTACATTAAGTTTGTCAAACAAAGTTACAATTGGTTAAGGTTACTTTTAACTAAACAAGTGGAGGATGGTAATACAGGTCAAGAAAATTAAGTGCTAATGAAACTAGGGTAGTAAAAAAATGATGAGTTGTCACAAACAGTTGTAATAATAATAGTGAGTTTTACTCAGGATGCACATAGAAACAAAGTAGATAATGCGAAACTATGTAAGAGATCTAAGTGGATACAAGAATTATAATTGCTTAAGGTTATTTTAACTAAACAAGTAAAGGTTGGTAATATAAGTCAAGACCATTAAGTGCTAGGGTAGTAACAAAGGTGATGAGTTGTCACAAACAGTTGTTAAAAGAAGTTATGCAATAATAATATGAATAGTTTGATGAGTGAGTTTTACTCAGGATGCACATAGAAACAAAGTAGATAATACGAAACTATGTAAGAGAAGAATTATAAGCAATTAAGGAACAGGCGAAGAAACAAAATTAAGTCATCAAAATAAAAATAAAAGCTCAAAACAAATCAAAACATTGTTACCATGAGAGTAGAAGTGGTTGAGTAATCTTCTTTTGTATGCACAGCTCCGGTTTTTCCATGTGAATGGCCAGAGCTTCAGCGATGCAAAGGAGACGAAACCGTATTGCCTTTGATATGTTATTCTTGACTCTGTAGATTACTTTGAAGGAGGCGTTCGTTGAAATGCAATGATCAGTGTTGACCAGGTGTTCTATTATCGCACTCCTTATTGCACCAGTATTGCCTTTTCGCAACCATGCTGGATAATGTTCTTGAATTCTCTTGGACAGGATGCGCGTCGAACGACCGATGTACCTGGCTCCACATTAAGCTAACAACAATATTAGACTGAAACACTGATGAACACATCCATAACTTTTGAAAATGTTTTAAAATGTTGAATTTTCGGGAGATAATGGTCGCCAGGGCTTTGGATTCCTAAACTCTGATATTCTTATTCACTTAACAAAAGTGAAGCTGAAAATTAGTTTTAGCTAAAACCAAAGAATATGACTACTTCCTATCAAAATTAACATTACATACATCCAGCTAAGAAGCTTCTTATTTATTACGTTTAAATGCTAAGTAGTTAACTGATTTCAGAGATATGACACCTGAAGACATTTGAAAATGCTGATGTTCTATTTCATAACTTTGTAGTGAAATAACTTGTTTGCTTCTGAGATGAATCTAAGATACACAAGTTCCATGGTAAGTAAATAATTGTCAAACTATCGAACTGGAATTAGGCTGTATTCTACTGCGTACCTTTGCTTTGAGGTCTGGATCATTTTTTGAATAGCTTAAATTAGTCACTATTTTTAACTATCTTACGTGCGCTGTCGATATAACACCTCAAAAAATAGGAATATCATAAAATCAAACAGTCACTACCTATATTCTGGTCATCTAAATGTTACTAACAAATATATATGTATGTCCACCAAGTGAAAAGTACGTCTAAATGCAAAACTTACGATACACACTCATGTATACCAAGATCTAAGAAGACTAGTCCAAACAATCCAGTTACAGATGCACATATTATTTCCGGCCTTGTTTTTGCATTCATAGAATTAACTATATTACAAAAATCCGACCATTTTTTAAAATCGTGGCTTGAACTCTCTGTAATAAGGATAATCAAATTATGGTCTTGAATTTTCTCCATAAGATTATTTTCCATGCCAGCTGATTGCACTTTTACCATTGGATTTAGATCTTGAGTACGAGAAATGACAGCATCAGAACGCTAAAAAAAATTCGAAAGAAAGAAATACTGCTCACTCTTAGACCAACACAATCATAAGGTATGAGGAAGTTGCTCTCGCAATCTTCAACAGTCACTTGCTTATCATCTATAATAGTGAGGCTTGATATACCAGCCAAAACAATATTTTTAGCTATTTCCGCAGCCAATGCATTCATTCCAAGTAATAGGATTTTGGACTGTTTTAATCTATTTTGAGACTCCACACCCCAGAGTCGTATCTGTCTGTCATATAATTCGGCTTCTTCTTCTGTTATTGCGTTTTGTGGGTAATCTTCAAGTAACATACTTCCGGAAATATATAATTCGTAGGACTAGTATGCACTAAGGTGGCAATCGCGATACAAAAGCTACAAATAAAAATAGACAAAAGTTAATTTAGGTAGAATAATGCCAAACGACATAAGTAATCATTATCTTCACACTTTACTTGGCAGTTTCCAAGTATACCTGAAGTGGTCTAAAAGTGCCAGTGTATCAAGTCTGTTCATTGTCGAGTGCACTACCAGTGTATAGTAAATGATTAAAGCCGCCTAATATAGGAATTAAGACGAAGACCAGGAAGACAGTATTTCACATTTATGGCAAGGGTTAGACTGAACAATTACAGTCATATCATAATGAATTTGAAGACAATAAATTTGATTGAGTCTACTAACCTAAGAAAGAAAGTGGACTGAATAGCTGTAGAGAAATTATGTCCAAGTTCTGAAGCTCTTGGCCAAATACTGACAACTAGCAACTAGCAAACAACAAAGATATTTTAATCTAAATCTAATGAGCTTTACTGAACTACCTCCATGAGAAAAAACCATATCGGATATACAGTCGTTCCATTAACTACAACTTGCCCGACAATATGTTGGCTTCTTCCAACCTAATTTTGCCTCCGGTAAAATAGCATAATGCGATGCATCAATTTCAGAAATATAAAGGTCTACAAGGGTCATTTTTATTAAGTGTATAAATTAAAATCATTTGAATGATGGCACAGGGAAAACCGAACGGGTACCGACATTTTTCGACTTAAGATGACAATTTCCCAGTCGGACAAAAAAAGGGCGACAAAAATGGGAAGCTTAATTGGCAGAAAAGGGGAGATAAAGAAAACTTTGTTGAAGATGTCACTCTTTCCCTGGTGACGCACTATTATTTCGCACATTTCCGCATTACCGGTACGTTTTTCGTCGCAATGATGTCCCCTTTGCCGTTGGTGATCAATAATTTCCCTCTTCGCCTTATCTAGCCACTCCTTAAAGAAATTTCCTTAGGTTTTTACACACTCCATAACTTCGACTAGAGAGTCTGGAACGGTAAGATATGTTTAAAAAGCTGGTCATTCATGACCAGTACAGTAAACGTTTACCGAGCTAGTACTTCGGGCGCACTGAAGATTTTTTAGAGGAAATTATGTTTATTGACATTAGGAACCTCCCATTCTATGCTTCTAAACTACTATTTGAACGTAGCAACTAAGTGTAATAATATGATGACCACAGTCATAATTGCAGTGCACGACTTTAAGACTTTAAGATAAGTTTAATCTTTAAAACCCCACCGTAACGAGGCAATAGAGTTTACCGCGGAATAATTGGTTAACAAATGTCCGATATCCTTATAGTGAACTTGCATAAATGTGATGATTTCTTGGCGACCGCTTCTTGGTGCGTCAAAATGGTGATAGGCTTTTGATGCACCCAGTGCAATCTTTATTTTTGACTGCTGTAGCTTTGCTGAACGCACTGATGTGAAACATCTATTTTACGAGCTAGATTCAGATAGTTAGCACGGTAGGCTCTTGGAGCCTGTGTTAATCCCTGAGTCATATGTTTCTGTAGAGATCTATTTTCTCACTGATGAAGTTCAACAATGGATCTGATACTAATTAATCGGATAAGGAGTTCTAGTTGTTGGCCACTGTGTGACAGAATCCAAATTCTACACATATTTTATTCGTCCGCGGTTTGAGCACTGTTTTGTGACAGTCTTCCAAGTGTATCCTAGAGGGAGAGAAAAGGATGGAAAATCCAATCCTCAAATCACCCTTTAATATACTTTACGCCCAAATTAAACCGCCTCTTCTGCTCCGGTATATTAATAGGAAGTTTTCAATTCTCCATTTTCTTATCATTAGATAGGTGCAGATACCACTGACTGATTTGGTCACTGCCTTTCGTTTTCCTTCCGGGATATAAGCCTCCTTGAAGCACATACTAATTCTTTGCATTTAATAATCTAGGTGAGGCCTGAAACACGATGTGAAGAGTACTTTGAACATGGGGCCGTCTGGTTGTTTAAGAGCTCTTCGAGGTGTCCATGGCATTCGGAAAGCCTTGGCGAATGGCACACCATTAATCTAACCAGATAATAATAACGAAGGTGAGGTGGGAATTTTCGGTAATTCATTTACCAACGATAAGAATAGAGAGTCTACAGTCCCCTGTGGTAATCCACTCGATACTGTTTTCCACCCTTACATTGTACCTTCCATGGGCTTCTACCAATTAGGTAGTCCATGAATCACTGGCGAACGCGTTAGCCTAATCCAAACTCTTTTAGTTTACTAAGGGGACCTAAATGGGACGCTTTATCGAAAAATTTACCAAGATCGATAAAAATGATATCCAGTAGAAGATCGTCATCTCTAGTATCGACCCAGTTTTCCCTAGCTAACAGTAATTTTGTTAGAAAGGATAGTTCTGATCGGAATTCATGCTGCCCCTCTGCCGTTGTGTAAACCTAATTCATATCATTAAGTTTTCTTCTTGTTTTTAAGGTAAAGGCTCCTCATCTTCCGTTTATTTTGTCGCGTTGGTCACGAAAAGATTTGCAGTACATGTCATTTTAAAGCTGTAGTGTTGCTACTAATACAGGTACGTTAGTTTGTTTCGGAGGCACTGTATGACTTTTACTCCGAAAATGGCTTTGCTGAGATTTGTAAACTATGTTTCGGCAAGGCACTTCTCCAGCCTAATCTTAAAACAGTGAGGAGAGAGCACAAGTGTACAAGAAAAATGGAAGAGAACATCATATTTTCGGGAGGCAAGTGCCAGCAAGCACAATGTAAACGTTGAGAGGAAGACGGGTAACACAAAATCAAGCTGAAATAGTTCAGTGCGTAAAATAAATGCATGTTTCTATTGCCAGCACATACCGAAATTCAAATAAAGAAAATGTTTGCGCAAAATATGATGAGTCCATCTTTTATTTCGTTGGTTCCCCTTTATCTGCGTACAACCCTGAAGAAAGTTGCGTGGATGTACCAGGAAACTTTAACGCACCTGCAAGAGTTGCATGATTTTCTGCTAACAGGGATTAAAATAAGTAAATAATCTTCAGGAGTTGCGTTTACATAATTTATGCATCGAAGTCAAAGTCTGAGCAAAATACAAACGCATAAAATTAGTGGTTGCATATATCGAAAAAATGTGAAATTTAGCCTGACAAAATCTGTTAAATTACAGGTACCAAAAGTCAGTAGGCTCCTCGGGATTTTATTCCGAAACTTTATAAAGTATGAATCAAAAATTATGCTGTACAAGTTATGTATAAGGTCCCTACTTGAATTTTGTCCCCCTATCATGAACAGCGACTCAATAAAAGACAGGTACGAATTAGAAAGTCTACACAGGGCGTTCACCAAACGTCTGGTAGGTGAAAATCTTTGCATTTCTTAATACGACAGATGTAACATATCCGACTTGGAATCTTTATGGGCCAGACGACTGAAGTTCAACCTAAAAATTACATTTAGGATTGCTAACGGGCTTTTGTATTTCCCCATAATTACTTTACTTTTAGTTCACCTAAGAAACAACCTCAGAAATAAATCTTCATGTTTTACAGTGCCCCGCTGTCATGTAAATACAGATCAAATACCTTCACTGTGAGATACCATTGTATTTGGAACCGTCTTCCAACTGAAATTAGAAACAGTTCTACCCCAGAAACTTTCTCATCTTTGCTGAACAAATATTATATCAACAACGGGTTAGAAGCAGTATGCGATAAACTAAAAGTTAGAGATCTAATACGGCACTCCTCTGACCCTCACTGTTAACTCCCGAAATCTGTGAACTGTATGTTTGACTCTACTTTCACTACGACTGTTTTCACAACCCTAGTCACCTATTCTGAATCAGCCTTAAATTTTAACTTTTTCTTTAATCAAATATATTTGCATATATCCCTGATAATATTGTATTATTAGTATTTCGGTATGCTAAGAGTTCAGTCTCAAGTTCCAGTTTTAAATCACCTGAAGATGACTGGTACTTAAATGTCTCTGGAGACTGCCTAATGCTGTACGTAAGCACCGCCTGTCTCTACACAAATTCCAGCAAAAATGGTGATAGTATGAATAATCCACTATACAGTGAGTCTTAGATAATAATAAATCTTACCTTATTGTTCTATAATCATAATCCTGAGCTGGTCAGATTTTTAGGAACCATATATCGTAACTTACTACTATTTATATATAAAATACTGTTCCACCATGCACTTTTCGTAATATCACTCATTTATATCTAAAACGTTGGCTATGACCATCTAATTTCTTTACATTTTTATTATTTTTTCCGAAATGCTGTAACAGATGAAACACGCATGATGGTCTTCCTAGAGTAGTCATTCATACCATGACTTTGAATGAGTTGACGAATGAATATAAAAAGTCCGTGTGGCTTTTAATAATGGAAATTGAAAAAGAAGCATTTCGCCAGGGCCTTGTACATAAGAAAGGTGGGAGGGCGGTAATTGCTATTCAGCGGAGATTATGGTGGGGAAATATGAGAACCACCTTTATCTGTGGGACAGCACTCCATTGCTTAGGCTCCTGAGTTTGAATGAGTTCTGCATAATAAATGAACAACTAAAAAAGAAATAGGAGTTTAAAAATGCCTAAAAGCCGGAGTTTAAATATAAATTCCTGAATACAAGTACATGGTGTAAGCTCGCTACTTCATAAAGACACCTAACTGCATACATCAGAAAAACAGTATGTATTATTAAGCCCTCGCTTTTCTTCTACGCTAGTGCGACTATCCAGCAGGATCTCCGTCGTCTTTGATACTGTTTGGGGAAGAACTAAGAGTCTATGGCACTTTGGATTTTGTCGATCCCACCTTTAGAGTGTCGTAGGACAGTCCGCTTCTAACCTCTCAGAAGTGAAGATGTCCTCAGTAAGTGTCAGATGGCATAGTTAGTGGAACACAGGGCTCTAATGCACTGAGTGATTTAGCGTCGTCGCGCCCAGAAGACTGCTCTGAGTTCAGTTTTGCTGGCTTTTCTAGAAATATGTTCTGAGTTGTCTGGAGAAAAGTGATCTCTGTGACGTTAAATTGCACCGTGTTTTGTTGACAAGTGGTAGACTTATTGTTCAGCTGTCAATGCGACATTTATTTTTATTTTATTTTTTTAATTTTTGGTAACAGCTTGATTCCACACTGTATTTTTGGCACAAGTATGGAATTTCCAGCGTGGATATCGGTAGCCCAAATTTCGCAGGCCGACCACAGATATCTGGTGTGCACCGGTGTGGGCTCGAACCCCGGACCATGTGCATGGTCATCGAGAGTCCTAACCATTGTGCCACCGACGCACATTAGGGGCTTCAACTGTTTCCAGATTACTCAAGAGTTTACTCCTCTGGTTGCAGCTAGAGCTCGCATAAACAGGACATTTCTTTTCTATTGAGTTGCTAATAGGTGAGGATTCTTGTCAGCCAAATGTCAGGCGAAAATATCGGGGACATTCACTCAGACACTCTAAATTATAAAAAATGCCTTTGCTTCCACCATCTACATGCCTGCTCAGCTTCTTGTCAGGGTTCCGCCCCAAGGGCCTCACACTAATTCGTGAGACATCTTACAGGTCAGTTTGTCCTGCAGGTTCTAATCTCTCGGATCTTCGGAGACCCCTCTCACTGAAACATCACTTATCTTCATCTTGACAGTCCTTTTACCTAATTACTGTTATACTGTGCTTTATCCCAACTGCCCATATCTTTATTATAGCTAAAGCTTACTCCTTGTTCATATCTGTTGCTTGCCCTAATGAAAAACACACAACAACGACAACCATATTTGAAAAAAGCTATATGTTCATCACCATGCTAAGACCAATATGGTTAGCATTAAACATTGCAAATGTGTGCAAATGTGTATAATGGCCACTGCGAAGTTAGTAGTTAAAACGTGGTGGGGAACACAATCCAGCACTAACTGTCTCTCCTAATCTATATGACTCTTGTGAAGCATATGCTCTACAGAGATTTCGAATTTGGCAGTAGTTCTTCGAGAAATATTTCCTCCCTGTCATAATAAATTGGTCCCATAAGTAATCACTAGTAGTCTAAGGTGGCTTGTGTGATAGCTTTCGAGGAGAGTACCAAGGTTCAAAAGGTGAAGTGACACAATCCAGTGTACTCCTAAATCCCGCCCATGCTTCCTCAACAGTGCTAACTTTATCAACTGACCAGTCAGCTAGAGTTGCTGCATTCCGGATTCCCGGCATATTCTCTTTCCAAATGTTAAGACGAGCAAATGTTGATCTGTGTATGAGAGAATGAATCGTAAACGTTAAAGCAATGACTACGTGGTAACTGCTGCCAAGACACCTTATGTTAACAACGTCCTCCTTCTTGTCTGTTAATATAAAGTTTAGAGTAGATGGATCATGTTCAAGTTGAAACCATGTTGGTGTATGCATATACTAATAATAATAATAATAATAATAATAATAATTTATTTTCATATAAACATAAATTTACATGGAAATACTATACGAGTACACATTCAAGCACCGTCAGTGTGATCTCCTTATTGTTGCAGGTATACAAACGATTGGACTTTTCGCCCCCCATACCCAGTCAATATATGGAACGTTGAAGCCACCAAACACCAGACACCTATTTCTACTACTCCACGCCCTCAAGAGATTTAGTGCGAAGTCATCAGCTTTTCTGGCAGGACTAAGAGATATCCCATGGAAGAGTTCATTGTTAACCTCTCCAATTGACGATATATTTCGCTGGCTAACTGAACCTTCATACTCGTCGTTCAATGGAGCAGCAGTTCCCGTAGTTGGTGAACAGTGAAGTTGAATCTACAGATATGACTGTTTCATTGTTTATCTTCTTGTCTCCTACTTTTCCTAGAGATTCAGTATTGCCCATCAAGCTATACTTGGCCATTTTTGCCTGCACTGGTTTAAGTTCTCCAGCTCTCTTACTACTTAATAATGTAGGGAGGTGAATGTGTCTACACTGGGCTTATGAATTTTAAGTGATCCTTACATTTTTAGTATATTAGATTTTATGGGCTGTAGATGTTCGAGAATATGGGGAGGCGCCACTTGACTGGGCAACACAGCTTTTAGTATCCTAGAAAATCCTTATTTTTTCTTATTCGTATCATGTTTTGGAATTTTGTAGTGTCCTGTAGAATGCTATCCATGTTATCAACGCTGCAATGTGCTTCTATAGTGCTCATAACAGTTGCTCTTAGTCGGGTTTCAGCGTCCCTGCATTCGGCCTTATGTGTGATCTTCGTAGAGAATTCCGACAAGATTTTAGATAACGACTTAATTACATCCATGATTTAATAAATCAGACAGATATATTCGTTCCTGCCAGACTAGCGCTAAACTTCAAGAACTTATTAGTCTCTTCCAACGATTCATGATACTTGCAAGTTTTCAGTAATTTAAATATTCCTGTAGCGATAGTTGCAGGACACAATTTAAGCAAATAAGTATTTTCGGTAATTTGTCATCAGGCTTCAAAATCACACAATAAAATGCCAAGCGGAGACGTCTGAGACAGTGTAGTTAATAGGATTAAATTTGAGACATGTAAAAATGTGGATAAAACTCTTGGTGGTCATACTAATAATGACAAAAACCTGCGGTCTTATGTCACCTAACAACAACATACAAATTAAATTAAGGTGAACAATATACCTATAATTTAGATACGATGGACCTAGTGCATCTGAATGACCAACCTGTAAGTTGCCAGCGTTTATTCGATTTTATGTATAATTTCGCTTGCTGAAGTAAATTTATTAAAAAATGTTTTACTTATTTTCACCTAAACACTTTTTTGATTGTAGCTTGATTCTACCCCGTACTTTTGGTACAAGTATGGAATTTTCAGCATGGATATCGGTAGCCCAAATTTCGCAGGCCTACCATAGATATCAGGTGTACGTCAGCAGGGAATCGAACTTCTGACCATGTGCATGGTCAGTGAGAGTCCTGACTACTGTGCCACCGACGTACAAGTAAGCTGCCAAGTAAGCTTTGTCGAACGTGATTTCTCCAAGGATGCTTAGAGTCAAACCCAACTCGCAGGAACTGTTGGCCCTAGCACTACGACGGTGGTACGAGACCAAGAGGAAAATAGCAGGACACGTCCGGGAAACTACCAAGGGAGTGGAACAGAGCAATCCTTTCTCCGATCTTCGGGAGTGGGGATAGGTAAAAAGACACTGGTTATAGATCAGTAGCCCAGTGGTATCATAAGTACTGGAGAGTATTATTGATAATCGCACCAGGGAGCACCTCGATAAGACTGATAGACTCCATAAAGCATAACACGATTTCAGGAAAGTCAGATCCTGTGTAACAAACCTACTATCAGCTTGGGACGTTTGGACACCAAGCTGGAATACGAATGTTTCAGTCCACATGGTCTTCCTAGACCCTGAGAAGGCATTTAACACAGTTCGCCACAACATTCTCCTCGACAAAATAAGTCAGGAGGGTATAGATAAGCCACTTCTGTCATGGCTGAAGGACTGCCTAGCAGAAAGGCAATTTTGCACTACGGTCAATCGAGTCCGATCATCCTGGCACAGCTCGTCATCAAGAGTGTCTCAGAGTTCTATCCTGGAACCACTGTTGTTTTGATTTTTATCAACGACCTACCATGTCGTCTATACTTCTCAACTCCTCTATACGCTGACGACGTAAAGATATGGGGAGCAGTAAAGTAATAGAAAGACTCAGATGGGCTGCAAGAAGATCTAAACCTTCTGGAAGACTGGGCGGTGGCCAGTGGCATGACTTTCAATCTGAAAAAGTACAAAGTAGTGAAGTTACGCACCTGTGAACTACGGAATGCAAGTTACGCCCTGTGTAATGAAAGCTTGTCATTCACAGCACTGGAGCGCGACTTAGGTTCAGTTCTATCGAAGAAAATGGACACAAGCGTAAATTACACGGGGGACGTAGCGAGGTCATATGCGGTCATACACTTTACACACAGTGTCAATTTAGTCGAGGACTAAACGATCAATTCATGGTTGTTTGCTCAAACCCAACTCTATATTTTGACGGGAGTCATCAATAACGCAGTCGTCGTCTCATCGTTCCCTGTTCGTCAGAAGAGAGAAAACTATCAGAATCCTTGTCTATAATAACCTTATTGTTGGTTACATAATGGCGCAGAATGAGGGATTCTCGATTCGCCAATCTGTGTTCTGGTTTTTCGCGTTGGTTATTACACATTGTTGCTGAAAGTCTTCCAGGGACAGCGTGAGGTTCAGTCTAGTAAGACCTGGACATTGACACAAAGAGTTAGGTGCATTTACTCCTAAGCTTTTTCTAAGGTTGTACAAAACATAAGTCAGATCATACCTTAAATTGCATATTATTATTGCACCCCCACTGCTTAGAAGAGACGCAAAACTTTTGGAAAGAGTCCAGAAGGAGTCGTGAGTCTCCGAAATAAACCTTATGATGAAAGGCTAAAGAAATTAGGCCTATTCACACGTAGCTAACGTTAGCTTAGGGGGGGACTTGATTACTTCCTGCAAGGTAGCAGTGGCTAGCATCACTCAAACAAGGATGTTCTGCCATTGAGCAGGCATAGGCTTCCTCGTGGAAATCCCAGAAGGATAGTCCACCAAATCTCAGGGACCCACTTCTTTTCACTGCGTGTTTTCAATCTCTGGAACTTCTAACAGGCAGATGTAGTTATGGCACCGTCTGTGGACACTTTTAAGTGAAAAGTGGACAATCATGCAGCAACACAAGGACTGAGTCTAAATGGCCTATCCCCTTAAAATCCTATACACCATTCGGTGGTAGACAACTAAATTCATCGCTTTACTTCTTTGCATTCTCTAGCGTCTTACCCTCCTGAAAACTACAGCGACTACACTTATTATTACTGATATAATATATATCAGCTTCAAATTTAATTAGCTATCTGTTTTAACGTTTTTCTTTATTTCTTCTTCTGTCTTTGAGTCTGAAACACCTACACTAATTTAATCTATCATTATCGCTTTCTTTTGGTGACAATACGGAAGGACTAATTGGCGAAAGGATCAACTCCATTCACAGTAAGAACACTCTCAACACAACTCATACTACAAACAATATATAATTAATCCCAGCACTACTTTTGGAGCCAACCTAAGCTATGACATTTGAGTAGTGGGAAGATCTACGCGTAAGTTTACCGAAGATCAGGAAAATATACCTCAAAATCAAGAAGCGAGCACAAAGAATTCAAACTGGTTTATACTACCTCGTAATAACAATATTGGATTTTGGAAGACACCAAAGACCCCGGGTTACTCAAATTGTCTCGGCACATGTTGTAAAGCTCGTGTCCTGTTGTGTGGGTATTCGAGGTAATTATAGATCATGTTTTATGAATTTTGTTGTATGCCTCAAAATGATACGAGATAGTTTTTTGTGGATTTTTTCATTGATACCTTCATGCTCTTGTTGTCTTTTTTTTTGCGAGAAAGGCTACTAAAATATCAACCAACTAGAATTTTGTTCTTTTTTCTTCACATATTCGTCTACCTAAACTTGGATGGCTTTGCCAATTAAATTGTTTTATGCTGTAGATGCTTTACCATACCAGGGAGGTAGATACCTCAACAAAGGATTTTATCTCAATGCCCTCTTCTGGTGAATTCACTGAAAAATGTGACCATCGGATACTGGCTCCGACATTATTCGCTGATTTTGTTAAAGACTTCGCATATGTCAGCTTATTTGGAGGGGTTGTCTGAAAATGCTGGGGAACAGTTTTCTGATCAACCCACCTAACAGTTTGATATCAGTGGCTAACATCACATGTAAATTCTTAATTTATATCTTGCCTGCGTCAGTATGCCATTATAGCCCAGTGTGGAGTACCTATAGAATGCATATATTCATGAAAGTAATGGATTAGAAGGTATGAAGCTGTTACACAGGGTACCTTTATCTGGCATGTGACAAAAATATCTGTTACCGAACGTCCAACACCTCCCTGAATGGGATATAGACACAAGTCCTCCATCCCTAACTGTCTGCGTTAACTAAGGTACTAGGCAGTGCCTGAGGATCAGATCAAGTCCCGTAGGGTTGGTGTAAGTCATTGATAATCACGGTATACAAGAAGGGAGACAAGTCTTCCTGTGATGATCACAGGGGGACTAGCTTGATTAATATGGTATCCAAACTTCTGGGTCAATAATCGTGTGTGAACAAAGCGGTCCATCGGAGGATCAAACACAAAAGAACCAGGCAGGCCTTAGACCAGGAAGAGAACGTATTGACAGACAGTTTTGCACTGGGATATCAACAGAGTAATTTAACCACATTCTCTGCCTTTAATTATCTAGGTCTTCTGACCCAAACAATAACCCAGATCTTTACTTAACCTCACCGTAATTTGGAAATATCCCTGAACTAACCCCAATGTCTCCCTCATTAGGTTAGTCTAGCCCTAACCTGCCCTTAGCCCGAAGCTTAATCTAATCTTTCTGAAACGTAATCTGGAACTTGCTAGATATCTCATTCGATAACACAACATCTCATTAATCATCTTTTAGTTTTGCTCACAATGCCATTTGCCAGGTGTCACAAACTTTCTAAGTTTCAAGATCATTGGTGCAGTCTCACTTTACTGGTACTGATTGGTTCTTAAAGCTTAACTTGGCCGTACAGTGTTTGAATTTTAATTGCCTAAGGTGGTTGAATTGTTTTCCATATATTCTTATCCATCTCAGTATGAACTGAAAGATGAATGATTAGGTTTAGAGAAATTAATAAGTGGGCTGACTGGTGTAGAAACTCCATGGAAAAAACTTGCCGTTTGTCTTGGTCAAAATTTTTGTTTGGTCGACGTGGTTTATTTTTAGACAATCTAGACTGGGGTCCTTTACCTGTACAAATATACTTGAGGTGTCCTTTTCATCTTGTTCGTACTATCATGTTTCTTACGTTGCTTTCTTTTTGCTGTGCTAATAACACTGACGTCTGATATATTCTCGTGTCGTCGCACTTATTACCTGCTAGACGCCTAAATATGTGTTTCGGTAACTTAGTCGGTTAAAAGTAACGCTAGGTCACATATAGATGTTTGTCCATGGATCAGGCATCTGGTTTAATCATAGACACTACCAAAGCGTCTGACGAATAAACATTTATACCCTTCGTGTTGAAACTAAGCTGTCTCATTATACAGTAACAAAAACTTCTCAAAGTGTGCCTTGTAAATCAGCGTTTGTTAACGTAGTAAGTATTGTGCATCAATCCATGAAATCCTTGACAGTTAAACTGAGTCAGGTAGGGAGATGCAGACTCCCGGGTTGGGGTCCTCGGGACTCTAGGAATCAATGGCTGGAGACAATAGGTGATATGGCTCAAAATCGTTGTCAATGGCGCAGATGTATTCAGTCTCTGTAATCTTTCATATTCCTTTCTACCATTACCCATTCTGTTTCACTCTCATACTTGTCAAACTCTATTGATTCTCTCCACTCATCTTGTCTACCTGTGTGTGCTATTTGGAACGTGGCAACTCGAACTGGTGCACTTCGGTGCCAAGTTCTATGTTGAATCCAGACAGATAGACAGACAGACAGACAGACATTGTGCATTACCAAAATCCAAACTATTTTCTTAAGATTGGCTGCAGTCTGTGCACTCATTCCCTCCTGGCAACGAAAGGTTAAGAGCAGTAGAGTATTTTTTTCGACACTGAGTATTCCTCCTCAGAAAGCGTATACTGTTGACTCCCCTAGATGGATATAAGATGAGAGCTGTTGCAAATCTCTTATGTGCTGGAATCAAAGATAAGAACATTGTGTATTTGGAATAGAGCTAAATAAGCGTGAAAGCGACACTCATCCCAAAGAAGCCAATTCACTTTACTCATATTGATAAGGATTCAAAATCTACAGTCTAAGTTTGATAAAAGTCAGGGAATTTTTGTAGTGTCGTTTAAACTGACTGTTACAAGGAAACAGATTCCTGGAGTTTCCGAACATGATGAGAAACGGAGTTGTTTTAAAGTAAAATGACTTGGAGTAGTCATAATGACTGTGGACAGTAGTGCTGGTGACTTCGGTGAGTGAAGAGCGACGAAGATGGAGAAGACACAATTCTCCTAGACAATATCCCATTAATTAAATAAGCTTACTTGAGAATTAGACTATTGCAGATTGATAACTGTGTGATGTTCACTGAAAAGTGGATGTATACAGAGACGTTTTACAGAACAGGACGAATTCGTAGAGCTATTCACATGACTGGTTACTTTAGTTGTCATCCAACCGCAGTCTGAGTTGGATGCATACATTGTTTGTTGAGGTGTAGTTGTAGGTGTGAAAACTGTGATAATTCTGATACAGCAGGACTTGACGGTTCATCTGTAAGGGTGTCTCGAGGTGGTGATCAGTAATCGATGACTAGATTAACCAAGCAACTGTCTACAGTTTGTAAACCTGATGTTTTTGTCAGTTTGTGAGAAAGATAAACACTGCTATGGTAATGGTGCGGAAAACAGCTGTGTTCTTATGAATTGTAATATTGCAAAAGAGAATTCAGCGAAAAATATCTTTATCGACGAAATCATCTTCATAGGCTGTACAGTCGTACTTATATTTATCAAAAATGTATAGCAGCCTGTTATTGAGCGAAATACGTTTTCAACTAATGTAGTATATCATTAACTCCTATCCAATTGCAAGCTTTTTAGTAGTGTTCAAAATTCTGTGATATTTCGACAAATTCAAATAACTTGGATTTAAAAGTTTAGTTTGAAGCACTGATCCATCAGACAAATGATCTTCTCCCAGTGTCTAACAAATCGTATAAACAATTCAAGTCTACAGTTTTGAATAACTACCGTCAGTATTCTCGTCACATTTAATGAAAGTATCATCTATGTATCTTTGGTACGTACAAAAATATCGATAGTGGGTCGTAACGTACTATTCTCTAGGTTTGCCAAGAGGCAGTCTGCAAATATAGGACCCATTGGTAACTCAGTTGCCACTCCGTTTCTTTGTCTATAGAGCATGTTGTTGAACTTGAACTGGGCATAAAGACTGCACCTCAATAGTAGTTCCTTTAAGTAGCGGATCGGAACACACACGTCTACATTATTATCTTCAATGAATTTGCATATAAAGCAAACAGTTTCAGTGAGAGAAACATTAGTGAAAAAGGACCTAACATTAATAGATATTATTTTCTTCCCGGATACATCAGCATCACTTATTGAATCGGCGAATCCATATGAATGTGAAACACTATGCTTGCAGAGGTAGGAGGATGCCTGCGAACCATTTGACAGTAGCATAATATAAGGAATTTGTCATACCAAAGGTAGGGTAGGGTATTTCACCTCATTTCATGCAAAATATTTAGGTAGAATGCGTCGTATTAAAGTGTATACCGTATTCCATAGGCATTGCGAATCAATGTGTGGTCTATTAAAATCATTATTCCACTATGGTGTTTCACTTTCTACCATAGTGTTCATTTTTCAAACTCGTTTTTCTATCTTCATTTATTTCAGTAATTTTTGTTGAAATAATTAATTTTTTTCTTCAATAATTGAATTAATAGATTTTAACAATGACTGACGAGAGAACTGCGATTCAGCGATGTGAAGATCTTATGTCTCGATGGAAAGCTGAACGCAATTCGCCAACTTTTAATCCTATCCCTTTTTTAAATAAGTAAGTAGCTTGTTTGATTAAAAAAATATAATTGCACAATCAGCTTTTCAGAATTGCTCGAAGAACAGATCAACTTGTTTTTCAGCACTGATCCAGACCCCTTTGATGATCGCCATCCATTAAGAACAGATTCCAGTTGTGATCTAGGTCAAATATTACGTCTTCTGTCAACTCATGAATCGTTTTTGGAGCGTTTAACATATGTTTATTTGGTGGGTTCTAGTGATCCATCGAATGAACTTGTAATTGCTGCATCACGATTACTATGTGCTATGAGATTGGGTGTGACTCTGTCGTATACTCTAGATGAAGAAGTATGTTTAAGTGTATTTCTTAATGGTTAATTTAATTACCAATTTGTTTAGGATGTAACAATCAGTACATTGTACAAGTTAGCATTAAGCGAAGTAGAACCAACCAATTGTTATGCCTTATTTCTTCTTGGTTCTGTTCTTGATAATACAGAATTATTGTATATTACTCGACATAAGAATATACAATTGGTTAGTTATCAAACTGTCAATTGTTGTAATATTAATCATTTGCTAATATAGATTCCGATTGTGCTAAATCGTCTACGCAATTATACAGCTGAGTTGAAAAGTGAATTAGCTTCAGGTAAGTAAGTAGTATGCTTGCATCCCTGAATTTTCCTTTGCATTTTAGCTACTCCTTCTACGCACGAAGTTGGCATGACAAATCTTTTGGGAAGTTTTGTTTTAAATCCTCTCAAAACAGAAATGAAAATTCGACTTTCAATTGCCTATTTGATTCCATTGGCAGAATATCAAGATGTAAGTTTCTCTATTTTTATTTATAATGTCTGAAATAATATTCTGGCCTTATCAAATCAACTTGTATCATATACTAAAGTCGATCGCAGGCATAGTAATCTGGTAGGATCAGCGGGATATTGTTGTTAATCTCGACGAAGTTGTTCGCTGTGGTCAATTCCTATCAGCTAGATTTCACTAATCTGACTGGGTGAGTTCTACCGTAGAACTGTGCACAGAAGTGCAGTCGTTCAAGTTGCTACACTCCATACAGCACACAAAAGCAGACAGAAAGAAAAAGTCTGAAGGAACTATAGTGGGCAGATATATGAGTGAAAGAATAATTACATGGAGAAACATGGCAACTTAGTGAATTTGAATTTGAATTACGAAGAGTGAATGCATCTGTGCCACTGAGAACGATTTTGAGTCATGTCACTAACAGTCTCTATTTATTGAATCTTAGCGTCTCTGGGACCCTAACCAGACAGTCCACACAATCCTATATGGTTCAAACCAAAAGTCAGGTTTTGATTTGACCGTCACTAACCTTTTTCTCACGTAATCCTATGTCGATTGACATCATTTGATGAAGAAGTCGGGGGTTCAGCACGTGTAACACGTGTCCTAGGTATTTGAATAAATGCAATTCTACTATCTTATCGACTGATTTTTTTTGCTTAACTAATACTTCATATCTAACTTCAGTATTACTCACAGTATTGTTCCACCCTATATATGAGAGATAGAACGCAAACATCTGTGGTCAAAGACAGCTAAGATTTAACCAATCAGAATGTCTTGTGCAAAAAAGAAAGCAATTTTTAAAAATAATATATGTCTCATAAATTTGGTGGAAATAGTCTGCAGTAGATGGATGATTGTTTCGTCTAAAGTAAATTTTGGAAGCTTATGATACTTTCAGTTGTAATTTCGAATCACTATTCACTAACGTCGTGGTGCCTTCAAGACTGGATAAACAGGTATGTATGATGTCGATTGAATGTGTACTCTGTTGTTATTATAGAAACAGAATGTAATTGTTGTCATTTTCCCAACACAATATGAGATGCTCACTGGCGACTGGCCCTATTCAGGTAGGTAGTTACCTGGGTTCCAGTGGGAATTCGTGACCAGTAGGGTGCAGCAGGTCGGGTGTGAGGACAAATACTCGTCGAAGACATTGGCTAGGGTTCGCGCTATATCGTAAATTGGCAGAAGTTAGAATTCAGGCCATTGGATCAGGTCCCAGTGGCTTAATGATATACGAGCTCGCTAGCTTTGTAATCAGAAGGTCCTGGGTTCGAATCCCTGTGGGTGCGCACTGCTGAAGAGTCCAAACTAGGACGAAAAAGCTGTCTAGTACTCCTTGGTTTTCAATGGTTCTCTAACTAATGTCAGCTCATGATGAAATCCTGAAACGGCAATGAAGTTTCATAAGATAAACACGTACTTGTGGATTTGCAGCATTAACATGCTGCAAAATTTTGCCGAATAGCAGTCACATATCTTCGATTCGATAATGATTTCCGAAGGTTGGTTACACAGTGTAAAAATAGATGTCTTACTAGTTATTAATTAGACTTTTCCACACTATATATTGAGACACTAACTAGAAATAGAAATGTGCGTCGGTGGCACATTGGTTAGGACTCTTGCCGACCATGCACATGGTCCGAGGTTCGATCCCCGGCCGACGCACACCTGATATCTATGGTCGGCTTACGAAATTTGGGCTATCGATATCCATGCTGAAAATTCCATACATGTACCTAAAAAATACAGTGTGGAATCAAGCTGTAATAAAAAAAGATATTGTGTAATAATTGGAGTTTTGAAAGTGAACACCATTTGTATCAAAATACATTACACTAAGTAATGATGATGAAAAGTAAATGAGAGGGTACAGGGGAAGGCTTGTTGAGTTTTTCAGAAACACCATATGAGCATCATAAAATTGTCATTGCCGCTCACTTTATATCTTTATTTTATTGCTAAGTAAAGGCAGTTGAAAATTTGACAGGATGTTGGTAATTCGAGTGCCGGGGAAATAACCAACAGGTTATTTCATTCTGATTGAACTCATAGGTTAATGAAACTTCAATCTTCCTTTATTCATAGCTAAACAAAAGAACCTAGTGTTCTATACTACTAATTGATTTGCAATTGTACTTGCATTCTTGACTGCCATTCATGATACCAAGCAGGTCATATATTGTGATATAAGTGTTTTTGGTTTTCGATTGAATTTAAGGTAAATCCTCACCACGAAATGTGTAATTTACCACTGATAAATTCAATTCTAGGCAGAAGGACAGTTAGGAACGCTTGTTATAGCAAGAACTAAGTGTTTAAAAGTTTTTCCTGATTGTTTAATCATGTTGCTGAACAATGTTCCATTCTTTTATTTCACTCAGAATATTTAACTATATTTCATAACTTAACTTCTATGCGAATGAATTTCAAGTATGTGCTTTAAAATAGCAACCTTTTTGTCATCTCAGTAGTGAAGTTACTCGTAGAGTATATTGCATATTAATCTTATCTGTTATTGTAGTATTTAACCGTAATCTTATTTATCATGTAGAATTCTGTTCGGTCTAATTTTTTTTATCTTCATACAATTTTATTTGTTTTACTAGCTGATGCCGTTCATGTACAATGGAGGCATGTTAGACCTCATTTACACCTATCTTATGCCAGAAGTTGCCTTTCGTGATATTCGTCTTACATTTGAATCACTACGTTTATTGGCAAATCTCCTGTGTCATCGCTGTGTTTATTTGGAATTTGTTGAACAAGACGGTTTACTGGCTGTACTTAAAGTACCAAGACCATCAGTAGCTGCTACAGCTGTCAGTGTAGTTCTCTACTATACAGGCTACTTTGAAGATGCTATGGAGCGAGTAAGTCGAATTGATGTACACTTTCTTTCCTATTGAATCAAGTAAACAATTAGCACTTAAGCGGATATTCAAGTGTTGGTTGCAAAGATTTGATTGCCTTCAAGTGTGATCATAAACTGACTGCAGTCAGAATACCCCAGTGTTGAACAGCTGTTTCATTTTCGGACTCTTCAACAATACTCACCCGTGACACAAACCAGCAGGGCAGTCAAACCCAGAGTCGTCAGGTTATATAAGGCAGCGTCGTTGACCATCTTACCTGAAAATTTTGCATCAAACATTATCACTTTCAGATTAGTTGTGAAATGAATATTAAGTAATATTGATATAAGTATAAAAAAAATATAAAATAAATATAAGTAAATTAATTTCGTAAATTGTAACAGATAGCTTGTTAGGTAAGGCTAATGAAGAACAATGTATGTATCAACTGAGTTTCACACCTGAACTTAATGTATTTGAATTGAATCGAAATCACTGATTACTACAGAATACATTACTTGAAGGTGTATGGCATAACCAACTTGCATTTATTTATTTAAACGCATAAAAACTTGGTACAATATGTCACCAAGAAGGATGTGCCACACAATAATAATAAAACAACACAGATCAAAAGAAAAAAAAGGAAGAAGAGAAAAATATATATATAAGTAGAGAACAGATAAAGAACTTCATCTGGAAGGAAGACAGTCATGCTTAACAAGTTCAAACAGTATTCGTTGACTATCATCGGGAAGGTAAGAAAGAAGGAAATTGCAACACGTGTAATAGCACGCGATAAGTTTCATTGATTGTTCGTTGCTTCATTCAATTCATTGTGTGAGATAACTGCCCTGGCGCCCAGACCAAAGCAGGTGGTTTTATTAAGGGACCAGACCCCGAGCCTTTGACTTGGAGTCTAATCCGCAAGGCAGCGGAGCAGCGTCAGGAGCTGCATTCCCATGGTTTCCGGTGACCCATATGGGTTCATACGTCATTTGATCCGATTGGATACTGGAGCCCATGTACCCCATGGTAACTGCTTTTAGTTTAACCGCTATCCAAACAACCTTCCTGACATGATAGGACCTGCAGGGACAGAGTCCCAGTCAGTTTAGCATGTTGAGTCATTACGGTATTCAAGCCCGACATCTTCAGCGCATACTTCAATTTGAAGTGAGCTTTTAGGTTTCTCCACGAGTTTATTAATCATCTCTCCTGGTGACCTTGGACGTGATTGGTTGTTTATGTGTGTTTTCACACCTTCTAGGTTACTTGTGTTGGAACTGATTGTTTCTGTGACTTGAACTTTGACCCTTTGTGTGTGAAGTTTCTTTCTTATTGGTTGATAAATTTTGTCTATCTCGATGTGTCTATTGATTGATGATTCACTGGAATGCCAAGCTTCTAAAAATTCTCTAGCATTCTTGTTATTTCCTTTGTCTAATATTTGAACGTTGTCCCAGTCGAATTGATGTCCGTGGTTGTCTGTGTGTAGTGAAATGAGGGAGTGTATATCATGTCTTTTGACGGCTAGCTTATGTTCGTGGATACGAAGACGAAGGGGACGTCCACTTTGGCCAATGTAGTGTTTTTCGCAGTTGTTACAGTTTATTTTGTAGATGATGTTGGTTTTGTCTTCTTTCGCTGTTGAGTCTTTTGGTTGACATAGAATTGAGTGCAGCGACTTTGTTGGTTTGTGTACGACGTCAATTCCTAAAGGTTTGAAGAGTCTTGTAGTGATTTCTGAGATATCCTTTATATATGGTAAGGCGATTTTCTTTGTGTTTTCCTTGGTGGCTTTTGTTTTGGTAGGTTGGCTTGGGGGTATATGTCTCTTGATGAAATTCCGTGGATATCCATTCTTTTGGAAGACGTCCATGAGATACTTTTCTTCAATTTTTCTTAAGGTGGGAGTGCTGCAGTGAGTCCTTGCTCTCTTGAATAGTGTTTGTATGCAATTCCTTTTGTGTGTTATTGGGTTGTTGCTGTTGTAATTCAGTATTTGGTCTGTGTGAGTTGATTTCCTATAAACTTGAGTTTCTAATTCTCCTGTAGTTGTTCGCCTGACTAAGACGTCCAAAAATGGTATTTTGTTCTCGGATTCCTCTTCTCTTGTGAATTTGATGTCGTTGAAGACGTTGTTTATTAAGTTGTGAGTTTTGTCTAATTCGTTTCTTTTGATTATTACAAATGTGTCGTCGACGTAGCGTATCCAAATCTTGGGTTTGATCTTTGGTAGAATTATGTTTTCGAGTCTTTGCATCACTGCTTCTGCAATCAAACCTGATATTGGCGATCCCATGGGTGTTCCTTTGACTTGTTCATATATTTGGCCGTTGAATTGGAAGTATGTTGTTAGGCATAGATTTATGCATTCCATCCAGCTTGTGTGTTGCATTTTTGATTGTTGTGGAAGTTGTTCGTCGTTGCTAAGTAATTGCTCCATGGTTTCTTTTGCTAGTTTTTGTCCGATAGAGGTATATAATGCTGTCACGTCGAAGGATACCATTATTTCTTGTTCATCTATTTGGATGTCTCTGATTTTCTCTAGGAATTGGATAGCAGAGTTGATGGAGTGATCACAAGATTCCGTTAGGTGTTTTAGTTTTCTGTATAATTCCTTGGACAAATTATATGTTGGAGTTCCTGGGAGTGATACAATTGGTCGTAACGGGATATTTGCCTTGTGTATTTTGGGTCTGCCGTAGAATCGAGGTAGGACTGGTCCATTGGATTTCATTCGCCATTGGTCTTGTTTTGTGATCTGTCCAGTTTTGCTGAGCTTGTTTAAGGTCCTTTGGATGCGGTTGTCCAATGTTTGTATGGGATTTGTTGGGAGTTGTTGATATACATCTTCATCTTTGAGTAGTTCTTCAGCTTTCTTGGTGTATTCTTCTCTGTCCATGACTACTGTTGTTCTTCCTTTGTCGGCTGGTAAAATGACGATGTCCTTCCTATTTTTCAGCTTTTTGAGGGCCTTTAGTTCTTGAGAGTTGAGTTGTGTGTGTTGTCTTTTCTGTTTGACCATTGGTACAATTGTTTGGCGTATCTCTTCCTGTGTTTCCTCGTTCAAGTTTGATGATTTGAGTAATGATTCAAGGCGCAGATGCATCCACTCCTTGTGACTTATGATCTCCAATGAAACTGTTTTGTTTTTCTTTATTACTCCTTTGTCTCACACCTCTGTACACTGTTTCTATTATGCTTTTCTTGTACTTTCTTCTCTTGCTTCGCGTGCTACACGGAGTGTGGCGACTTGAACTTCCGCACATTTGTGCAAAGTTCTATGTCGAAAACAGACAGATAGACAGATTCAACTCACATTTACATAGAGTTGGCTAAGAATCATACCTATTGTGTGAGAGTTAATTTATACTGCTTGGTTGCTCAAAACTTGGTAGACTCCGCGGTATTCGAACCTGCTACCCAGTTTGTTAAAAATCAAGTGCCGAGATCAGTAAGTCATAGCTACTTGGAGTTTTTAAGAATTTCTTCTTTAATTAAGGAGTACCTATGTAACAACAGAAGACAAGAGCCGGCAACACATCGTTTTATTACGGAAATCAGCACGTATTTATATATATTTCATGTACATTATTATAGCTTATTCAAGCAAACGAACACAGTCTTCTGATTGGTTGTTTCTGGTTTCTCGGATAGTTAAGCCATATATCTGCGAATCGTATTTGCCCATATTGAGTCTGCTGTGATTGGTTGTTAAATCAGCCTTGTTCATATTTTCTCACGGCCAATATTAGTGACCTAGACATTGACGTAGATTAATGCCTACCAATTGGCTAGCCCCCTGCTCTCACCACACCTATACGCTCTCAGATGTCTTTTCTTCTAGTCTTCTTTGATTGGAGAGAATCTAATCTCCTAATGAAAATTTTAGCTTTGTCTGTTATAATATACATAGTAGATGCAGTGTAGATCGTGGAGCGTGTTTTGCATTACACTTATGCAAGAGGTCATCAAAATTCTTTGATGTTTGAGTAAACTCGCCTATCTATCTGTTATCAAATATTATTCGGTTTTGTCTAGTGGGTTAATCGACATAACTGAAGAGCGTTGCAATTCATGTTATACTACTCTTTCTTTTTTTTTTACAGGTTTGTCAGCTATCTAACAATCTGTTGGATGATTTAATTAAATATTCCCTTTGGCTGGTGGAATGCTCTCATCCTTCAGCGCGTTGTTATTCTCTCTTTTTCTTGCACTTAGTCCTTTGCTATGGCATAACATACCGAAGATTCGAAGAACACAATGGTTTAGTATATCTATATAATGCTGTAAGTTGCCAAGAGTTAAAATTTGATAATTAACTATACTAGATAATGCTTTAGTTTACTGACTGCGTCGTTGGTTCAGTGGTGGAATTCTCGCTAACCACACCCGTGGTCCGGGATTGATTGTCTACCGACATACTTGTAAACCTCGCTTAGCCTGTAGTATGCCCAGTAAAGTAGGAAGATTGAGCATATGGCTAGCAAACGCACCATCGCTACTGAAACTCTAAAGCTCAAGCTTGAAGCCTTATGTTCCACTTGGAAAATGAAGGAATGAACAATGCTTTTTTATTTTTATGTGAACAGGCCTAAAACAAGTGCTAGACTATGCAGTCACAACAGTATCTTTTTCTATCGCCATCATTAATATTCTGAAGTATTTGTAGCTCAAGATCCACATTTTCTGGCAGTTTTTATTCGCTGACATCAATCTTTCATGCTTTGGAAACATTTTTTAAGTTATGTGAAGGCCTGCGCCTTCACTTAAATTGAGTGATGTATTCATAAAAGCCGGAGCTGGGGGGTGGTGTAACAAAAGACTTTACCAGTCGTCTTTATACTTATTTTTATGCATTTAATTGATACAACTTATTCTGTCTAAAGGATCAGTTGTATTAAATATTGTTTGCACCATTCCAAAAAGCCGAGTATTACCAAAAATAATCGTTTACCCTCTGGAGCTTAGTACGAAGACGAAAAGTTTTTTTCTCATGGGTATTTTTCAGGAACCTTATTTTACAATCGAATTGATAGCTTTTATAATCTGTGATTTACGTCAGGTTTTCAACTCTAACACAGATCACATTCTATTGCTGGTTGTGACCAGTGAACAACTGACACTTAAGTAGACTCTAATTTTTCGTATTTATTTGAAATAATATTGGAAGTATATGTTAATTGTTATCTCCCTGATTCTACCTGTTTGGGGAGGGGTGCACTTAGTAAGTTTTAGCTGATGAGTAAAGACGCTTATGTAGTTTCACATCCTAGTTCGAATCGATCTTTGTCAGTAAAGTGTAACAGTTGTCGCTACTGCTTCGATTTAAGCAGCTACAATGAGTCCTCTAAATGTCTGTGAATAATGGTGATTGGTGAACGTATAAATGTTGGGTTGTAGACTTGTTTAAGCCTATTAAATAAACCTGACATAAGAAAGTTATGGATACCAAAGACTTATGTTAAAGAATTCTTCCGACTGGCAATTGGAATGACGTGTATACCAACGAATGGGTTTGTATGTATTTCATACATTTATTCCCCTTAATGAATTTGAACAAAGCATGAACTACAGTTTTAGCAGAATAATATGGTACCATCATTTATTTCGTTGGCTGCTTTTGGGATGTAGGCAGCTGATGAGAAGCCAACGAAATGAATGATGGTACCATATTATTCTGCTAAAACTGTAGTTCTTGCTTTGTTCAAATTTGTATGCATTGTCGGATTGGGACATTTTTTAATACATCGTATAGAGAACGAAACACATAATTTTTAGACAAATTGCGGTAATTCTTTGTATAGTCATCTTGACTTGCTTCTGAGACATCCTTATTACCGTTTAAAAATTACTTTCGCTTTTAGTAGCGAAGCTCATTACATTTTTAAAACCAATTTTGAACCCTATCCCGTGAGTTGATTTTCATTCGATGATTTAAGCAATCTGTTTATGTCGTTTTCTTTACAATCGGTAAAGTAAATGCTTAAACCTATTTAAGTAGGTCAGACTGCAGTTTGTGAAGAGGGGAAGTTTTCTCAGTCTCATTTGAAAACCTGAATTATTAAAATGTCAATATGTTATCTGCTTGGTACCATGAATGGTAATGAAGAAAGCAAACATAATTGCCTCGGTGTTATTGAGGTTAGGACGCTCACGGACCATGCACATGGCCCGGGGTTCGGTCCCCGGCCGACGCACTCCTTTACCTCGTTGAGCCAGAAATAATACTGGTAAAGAGGAAAGGTTAGGTAGGTATGAGGCTAGCAACCCTATCCTGTAAAATAAATACTGCTACAGAAACTTCAAGCCACTAGTTTGAAGCCCTATGTTCCACTGGGGAACGTGAAGGAAAAAAGCATAATTGCATGAAACTATATACTAGTGATTGATTTTGGTGAATAATTGTATGGCATTTACATCAACCGGATAGCTCTTGCTATCCAGACAGAAGTGGTGTAAACATCGGATGGAGTCGAGCGCATCAGCGGTGTACCGGGTTTCACTCAGTTCACACCACCTGATTTTCGGCTGGGTGCTTGGGTGACCACCATAAATCAAATTCACAATTTACAAATTAATTTACAACTTACACTCTTCATGAAGGTGGATTTTCACCACAGCTTCCTTTGGAGAGCAAAATTATTCAGATCACAATGTGATCTGCTCGATAACATAAATGGTAATCAGTAGTATGTAGTTTTATATTTACGCAGACATTGGCAGTTACTATCATTTTATTGTTCATATTGTTAAAAAAATTGCTGTTATTTTTTGTCTGCATCTATAGATATGCGTTTTACCATTAAGACTGACTGAGGATAATCCGGTTACTTTGAAAGATACAACGTCATGGCATGTTGTTCGTGCAAGTCTATGTGCTATTCGTCGTTTCCTAGAAATTAGTCTGTTGTTATGGATTGATACAATAGATCCTAGTTTGGGAAGTTTATTTGACGAGTCTCCAAGAGCTGTAGCTGCTGCTGGATATCGTGTAAGTTGTGTGCATGTTTTATTCTTGGAATTGTTTTGGAATCTTTTCTTTTTTACCGTCATACACGTTAATTCTTCCTTTTATTTTGAATGGTTTTGATGTTTTATAACCTATTATTATTCGCTTGAGTTCCTAGTGGAACATATAGGGTCAGCAGCATGTCTCCTCATTCTGTTTTCTGCAGTCCTTTATATCTGGCTCCTTAATTGTCCATAAGCTCTTATCTCCTCATACGATCTTCTACATGTTATCCTCGAATGCACAACTCGTCATTTCCCATTCGGGTTCCAATTCAGGACCGGGTTGGCATACGATGTCACTCAGTGTTCTCTTCAGCGTGTGCCCAGTATGTCTCCATTTCTCTTAGCATATGTGTTAGGCGATAGGTTATTCTTTCCTGGAAACCTGGTCTTCATTATGAAGCGAAGGTAGCTGTTGTTGAAAATATCCAGTAGTCTGTTGGGAATGCTTCTGTCGACGCACCAAGTCGGTGGACTATATACAAACACTGATTTGACATTGTGGTTGAAGATAGGGATGTTGTTCTTCATTCTAATTTCTGGTGATTTCCACACTGACTTCCGGTTAATGAAGGCCTGTCTTACTTTTCTGATCCTGGTTGGCTGTGACATATCCATCCGTACTTCCTGTTGTTGAGACGACGATGCCCACTTACGTGAAGGAAGCGACTTCTTTCAGGTCTGTTCCGTTCATAGTGACTGGTGCCAGTTGTTGGTCGCTAGATATCTTGACTTCTGTCGTCGCTATTTCTGCTACCAACCTGTTGGTTTTCGCCTGTAGCTGTTCGAGTTTTTTTGACATTAAGTCATCCGCAAAGTCCATATCTTCTAAAGTCTTCTTATCGGTCTAACGTATACCTATCTCTTTGTCCCCTCCACAGTTGTCTGATAAACTACGAAATATGAATTTGAACGAAATAATTTTCTCACAATTTTCCAACTCACTCCAACTGTCGTATCACACAGACATTTATGTAACCCACCAAAGTTCTCTTTCACATTCCAAAAATGTGTTCTGACGTACTCTTGTGAAATATAGTAAACGAAAGATGATAGTCTTTGATTTGATTTTGGGTAATTATTCATATATTTTATATGTAGTGTAACATTCAACCAAGTAAATCATTTGAGCTTTAAACTTGAATAGTCCTAGAAATAGGATGAAACAGCTGTGCAATACTCCCAGGTTTTCCAGTAATTCTCTATTTGATGTCATTTCGTGGTGAAATCCTTCAACCAATCAAACAAAAACCCCAATGAAAAAATCAATACTTGAACGTCCTAAAATAATTGAAGATTTGTAGCATGCATTCGCGTGGAATAAATCACCAAGATAGAACTAAAGTGAACACAATTTTTAGAGAAAAAGGAGCCCAGATATTGTAAGGCTGTATTATTTGTAACTGTAATATGGCAGCAATCAAAGTAAATTTTTTCTTGTGTTCAGGGAAGCGGTTTTTTAGATATAGGGTGCAGTATCAGTGCATCTCAAGTTTCCTTGGAAAGTTTCTGTTTCCTCTTAATTGGTTAAGTTTCGAGATTAAATGTAGAATGTTGGGTTAGGAAGGAAAATCAATCAATAAGGTTGTGAAGCTGAATAATTTGAGATGGCTGGACAAGAGTTACTCAAGCCAGTTGACTGCCCTCCTCTTCGATCAATGTCAAGCGACAGGATTTGATGGGAAAAGAGTTAGTGGTAGTGGAACCAAAGCATGGTATGAGTCCATGTAGTTTTTGATCGTCAGTTTGAGATACATATAGAGGTGTAAATTGTCTGGTTGGTGTCCTCAAGACGCTAAGCTTGAGTTTATTGGTGCTATGGTTCAGAACCTTTCTCAGTGGCCCAGATGCATTCACTTCTCTTAGTCTTTCAGATTCGTTGGAGGATTTCATCATGAGCTGACATCGGTTAGAGAACCATTGGAAAACTTGGGAGTACTGGACAACTGTTTCGTCCCAGTTTGGTACTCTTCATCAGTACGCACACACTGGGGTTCGAACCCAGGACCTTCTGGTTACAAGGTGAGCTAGCTCGTAGACCATGAAGCCACTGAAACCCGATCCAATGGCCCGTGAATTCCAACTTCTGCCAGGATCACTTGGAAATATTTTTGATGAGCAACTGTCCTCATCTTCGACCTGTTGTACCCTACTGCTAGTCACATCTTCCCACTAGAATCCCAGGTAACTTTCTGAATAGGTCCAGTTGCTATTGAGAATCAGATCAATTTTCAAGAATTGGTTTGTAGGGATTTTGTTTGATTTGTTGGAGGATTTCATCATTAGCTGACATTAAGTCCTCATATATTCCATGTTAATATTCTATTTCCCACCCATTTCTGCTTATTATAGTTCTTTTGAATTATATTTCTTTTTCTGTAATTTTGTGTGATGTATGGAGTGTTGCAACTTAAACAGCTGCACTTTTGTGTGAAGTTCTGCATTTAGTAACTTCAGTTCACCTCATTCGATTAGCTGAATAAAAGGTCGAATTTGCAATACCGAAATAATGAGTGTTGCTAAACGGAGTTGTCGTTGGCTATGAGTAGTCGTGCGAGTTGAGAGATATGAGTGGCATCTTCCTCTCCTCAGAGGTTTAGACCTAGTTTGGTGCATTTTCTACCTGTTTCTGAGCTGTCAGTTACACTTAATAATTCAAAGCAATCAATGACTGTTTTCTATAACATTTCTAAGTTTATCTAGTGTATTATTGAAATATTTTTTAAGCAAACATTTAGTTTATGGTGATTTTTCAATAATATTTTTCAAATAATTATAACCCTTATCTCTTCTCGTTTTGGTGTGCATTTTGTGATCTTTGTCTCTTCTGTACTTATTCAGCCGATAACATACACTACTGAACAATTCTCTCGACTCATGTCATTGATAATTTCTCGTATCCGTCCAGATACTGTATGGCAACCAATTCAACAACTTAGAGATTGTGGTGCTATTGACGTGTTGTATCGTATTATTGCACGCAATGTATATGCTCATAACAATTGGCCATGTCGCAGTGAATGTACCCGATTAGCCGTTGATATTCTCAATCTAATGTCCTTAACCTACGACATAGCCGATGAAATTGTCTCTGCTGATGTCTACTCCTTTCCTAGTAGTATAGGTTCAGCAACATTCCTCGGTCCTACTCCACTCTTTTCATCACTTGCTGCAGGGGATAGTTCAGATTCAGATTTCGGTTCAAATGATGTAACTGTTCACTTACCCTCTCCACTGGGAAGTAATTCTACACATCGTCGAGGATTAATTAATCAGTTATTACAGATAGTTGAGCAGGTGAGTAATGATGGAATTGGTGGTAGTGGACGAGACCGCAATCGAGAAGATGGGCGGCGATCAGCATTGAGAAGAACAGGAAATCAGGGCGGTGGAGCTGCATCTAATTTTTCCCTACCAAATGAAAATGAGCAAAGATTAAATGCTGTTCAATCCCCCGGTACAAATTTCCCTACTGAATCACTATCTCGACCTGAAGAACGAACAAGTGATAATGAGGAAACTCCTGCAGAAGGTTCTTCCACCCTAGATGAACGCATTAATGGCTTACAGTAAGTTTCATATAAGATTTAGGTTATTGCCTTTTTTCATTATAATCCTTTGATTATCTTCTTTGAAAGTACTGTACTTTAAAGCATATTTCACTTGCCAAGTTCCTCTTTCATGAAAAAGTTATTGTCAGGATTTTTGTATAGCAAGGATATGGATCACCTTTTACGAAAGATAATACTTTGATATTGTCTGACCTTTCGCATTAGACTGTGGATGTTTTATTGTCAGATGGTAGCATAAGGTTAGTTTTTTTTTCATACAATCGTTCCCACTTCATTAGTTTGAATAAAGAAAGAACAAACATATTTTCAGGCTATTACGAGCTCGTTTTTACTTCGGAACATACTTTTCTCTCAGTGACGTCAAGTTATGAATAAAGAGTATCAACAGCATAATTCCAAAATGATGTAATTAGACAAATTATTTAGTATTAAAAGGCTAACACTATTTACAATGGAATTAGACAAGAGGTGAGGTAAATAAAGTTCAGATTTTTGCTGAGAAACAAGGATTGACTAGCGACAGAATACAAGAAGAAACAACTGTGAATTTATACATAATATGATAGAAAGTTCAAGAAGTGAAATTATGATATTAGACAAACAATGTGAAGTAAATTTGAAAACTTAATAGTGAGTTCAACTCAATGAGAATCAAAATCAAGTGAAATGTTGCGATACAGAATCAAATACAGAACATACTAACAAAATATATACACACTTACCAGGGTAGTGAGAGATTTATCACGCTACTTTTCTTAATGCACAAGTTAGGTTGAAATCCTTTGATAATATTGGCTTCTGCGAACCAAGGTAACCAGGCTTCTCTTTGTATTTTGATTATTTTGAAAGCTTCTCTAATTTCCTCCGTATTTCCCTTGCCAGTATGGTGTCTGGCAATTACACTAGAAAACACTTTTTCTCCTTTCAAACAATGACTCGATGTTTAAAGAATGATATAATTCCTCAAAAAATACACCTAAGTACTCCAATTTCTTCAAGAAAAATAACATCAGCAGCAAAAGATATCAGTAAATTATATCTTAGAGAAGAACTACAATAGAATTACTGTTATAAAGCTAAAGAATATACGAAATGAAATTCAATTACTCAAACACAAACTCGAATGTTTGATAAATGATAAAGATTATAAAATTGTGATCGTAACATCCAAAAAATCACTGGAAAAGCAACCTTAAAGAAATCAAAGAACAGCACAATAAATAAAGAAGTCGTCTTCTATTGACAACTCTTCAAGCGAGTTGAGCTCTAGTTGTAATAACAGAAGACAAGGACCGGAAACAGATCGTTTTATTACGGAAATCAACACGTATTAATATATATTTCTTGTACATTATTAAAGCTTATGCAGTCTTCTGATTGGTTGTTTCTCGGAAGTTAAGCAGACAAACGCAGCCTTCTGATTGGTTGTTTTCGAGATTTCTCGGAAAGTGGAGCCATCTATCTGCGAATCATATTTGCCCACGTTGAGTTTGCTGTGATTGGTTGTTTAATCAGTCTTGTTCATATTTTCTCACGGCCAATATCAGTGACCTAGATATTGACGTAGATTAATGTCTACCAATTGGCTAGCAACCTGCTCTCACCACATAGTGAGATAAAACTACTTGAAAAAGGATTACATTTGAATGTAACGGTTAGCAAACTGAAACCAGAAGATACCAACGCTAACATAGAAGTAGCATAAAGTTCAATAGATAAGACGACAGCAGAAGAGGTTCTAACTGAATTCGCATTAAGTCTTAAGAAGCAAAAGAAAGCACAGTGAAATTTTACAAAAAGTGGAAGAATCGATCTAATTAATCTTAAAATCGATAAAAACATCGTCATCACAAAAGCTGATAAAAGAAACTCTAGAGTAGTTTTGGATAAATCCGACTATATCAAAAAAGTCACTGAACACATTGAAACTGGTTTATATGAGGAAATCAGAAGCCTGCAGATACAGTAATGAATAAGATTGAGGAATTTAGGGCGGATTTAAGACGCAGTATGAAACTGTCACTGGGGGAGTCTAAATGGCTTAAGGGAATGCCTAAAACAAAACGCTAGTAGAATATATGGTACTAAAAAAATACATCAACCAGGTTACCTCACAAGACCAATATTAGGTTTCAGAAATACGTCTGCATATGAATTTTCAAAACACTTAGCTCTGCTACTATGTCCCATTAGAAATCATTCAAACTCTAGACTAACTAATTCATATGAGATGAAAAATAAACTATATGACATTCAACTAGAGAATGATGTAACAATGGTTAGCTTTGATATAACTAGTCTTCATACTGATATACCAGTCAATGTGGCCTTAAAAGCAGTTAAAAAAGAATTAACTGCAGATTCTGAACTCACTTATTGGACGAAGCTGCCCATTGAAAAAATTATTTTAGGGATTCAGTTATGCCTCACATCTAATAATAAATAATTTAAATAATTTTTCCTTCACGTTCCTAGTGAAACATGTCCTTTCCTCCTTACCAGCATTATTTCTGGCTCAGCGACGTAAAGGAGTGCGTCGGCCGAGGATCGAACCTTGGACCATATGCATGGTCGGCGAGCATCCTAACCGCTGTTCCAGCGACGCCTATGCCTCACATTCACTATCTTTAAATTCCAAAGCAAAACATATAGACAAACAGAAGGTGTGGCAATGGGATCACCAATATCCCCTTTAGTAGCAGACATATTTATGGACGGCTGGGAAAATAGTGCTCTTAATGCATTCAATCCTACTCCAAAAATATGGTGGTGATATGTGGATGACACTTTCACAGTGTTAAAAACAGAATTTATCTCTAGCTTCTGGACACATATAAACTCACTAGTAGAGGGAATAAAATTCACAATTGAATCAAAAAATAAACAAGGAGAATTAGCTATGTTAGATTGTAAGATAAAACGAAAAGAAGAAGGCAAACTACATTTTTTTATTTTTGGTTACAGCTTGATTCCACGCTGTATTTTTGGTACAAGTATGGAATTTTCAGCATGGATATCGGTAGCCCAAATTTTGGAGGCCGACCATAGATATCAGGTATGCGTCGTCAGGGGATCGAACCCCGGACCATGTGCATGGTCGGTGAGAGTCCTAACCACTGTGCCACCGACGCACACATACTAGTGTTTATATAAAACCAACGCATTCTAATAGATATTTAGACTTTAATTCGTCTCATCCGTTAACTGTTAAGGCAGGCTTAGTTAAGTGTTTAACAAACCGAGCAGTAGCAATAAGTAGCACAAAGAAAGACCTAAATGACGAAATAAAACAGATAAAAGAAGCATTGGTGTTAAATAACTATCCTTTAAAATTCATTAGGAAGATCGAAAAAGGCCAAAAACAAAATAAAAATAATTGTGAAACTAGTAATGATAACATAAATAAGAAAGAATTTAAGTCATCCACTGTTATACCATATAAGGAGGGGACATCTGAGACCCTACGTAGGATTTTGAATAAAGTAGGAATTATAGTGGCATTTAAACCTATAAACTCACTCAGGGACAAGCTCTGTAGGTTAAAGGACCCTGTCGGTGGACCGAATGAAACAAAGTAATATAGTTCACAGAATACATTGCAGTGACTCTGAGTGAGGTCAACTACGTAGGTCAAACAAGTAGATCAGGAGTAGTGAGATTTTGGGAACATACGAATTTGGCTACGGTTGGAATGTTTAATCCCGCGAAGATAAGTTATTTAGAAAAAAAGCTCACCAATAATACAGCATGCAGTAACATACAACCACACAATAGGGTGGGACAGAGTCAAAATTCTAAAAAGTAGTATCGGCAGGTGCAGAGCGAAAGAGATAGGTAACTGAATCCTTGTTCATCGAGTCTACAACCAACACATGCAATAGAATTGACTCAACGCAAATACCAGAGATATGGAAGATATTATTATCACCAGTCAAATCAGAGAATAATAGATTATGTTGAAGTGTATTCAGTTCACACTATATGATTCTAACAGGTTATTTATTTTCCTATGAAAACATCTTATTTCCCATCATATTGTTTTTTTTTTGATAACACTAATATTATTTCCGAATGTACTTGATCTTCCTTTCTTATTCAAGCAAGTCTTGTGCTGGTTTTTTATTCAAATGTCTAATCAACTTTTACTGATGTATATAAATGAAGCAAGAAAGTTGTGTGAGTAGTGCCTTGATATGATTATGAGCAATGGTATACGAGCTTGCCTTGTAACCGGAAGGTCCTGGGTTCGAATCCCGGTGGGTGCGTTCTGTGAAGAGTCCCAAACTAGGATGAAGCAGTAGCTGTCCAGTACTCCCAGGTTTTCCAGTGGTTCTCTAACTAATGTCAGCTCACGATGAATTCCTGAAACCAATAAATTATGCTCGAAACGTCATTAGTAAATATTACTGTATGATACTGTGTAGTTTTGTCAATATAAAATTTTATCCATAATGTGGAATTATTCTCGTTCTTCACTTTTTAACAGTGATTTATGTGTTTGTACATCAAAAATTTTGACATTTTGTTGAAATTCCACCGGTTGTTGAATTTGTTTCTATAAATAAGTAGTATGTTTGATTTCTTCCTATTCATAGAAAATGAAAACTGTCTTTGTTCATTAGAGGAAAGTATGAATACCTTTTTCATTGTTGGAGAACTATGTTTTTGGCTTATCATACAACTCCACTATTGGCAACAATGTATTTCTGTTGTACATCCCTGGAATGCTTTTATTTGCTTACCTTTTAGGATCTTTTTTTGATAGTGAATTTATTGAATAATGATGTTACAATGTCATTAGCTAATTTCATGAACATTCACATTGTCCTTAAAAACTGTGTATGTATGTACTTTTTGAACTTATCCTACTTTAAGTAGGCTGTATTTAATTGTTTCTTTAAATCCTTTTTTTCTTCTTTATTGGCAGTATGTTATTTAGTATTTATCGTGAAGATGATAACTGGGATGTATCAGTTCATAAAGCTGTCCTAGCCTTTATATGCACATTAGTTTATCGTCCAGTTGTAGAACATGAACATCCAGATCAACCAATTGCAGTAACTGGTCTCTTATCCAACTTTACAACAATGTCAAATTCAAATCAGGGAAATAATGCATTATGTTCACCGTCAGTACCACCACACCAACGAAATCCAGGGAATAATACGCCTTCAATCGGTAGTTCATTTAAGGTAAGTAAGTATCTGTTATTATGCATTCTTCTTTTTGTTGCATATTATGCTATGAGTGTAGGGGAGATAGTTATGTTCGCTATATTTGTTGACTTTCTCAGTGATAACTCTATAATGATGGTTGCTTTTAAATAGACATTTATTTTTATTTATTTATTTATTTTTGATTACAGCTTGACTCCACACCGTATTTTTGGTACAAGTATGGAATTTTCAGCATGGATATCGGTAGCCCAAATTTTGGAGGCCGACCATAGATATCAGGTATGCGTCGCCAGGGGATCGAATCTCGGACCATGTGCATGGTCGGTGAGAGTCCTAACCACTGTGCCACCGACGCACTAATTAGTAGTCTTGTTTGTTAGACTTAGACACTTTTATTACAATGGCCTTTTTTGTAAATGATCAAAGATATCCATTATAAATTTCAAATGACTAACCAGTGAATAAAGAATATTCTTTTTGATAACTTCTTCATCAGGTTCTGCGGTTATTACTGAATTACTTGGTTCAGTAATTGACGTAACTGCATTGAATAATAAACATTCTTGCGGGGGTAAATATTTGATTTCCAATAGACAAGCACAAGTTGTCCGTTAGAAATCATGTTCTTCGTAAGGAAGTAACTCCTTAACAAACTACATCATGTCTTTGAACTGAAATTACTGGTTACTTTCCTATAAAGTATTTGTCATGTTTTGTAGTTTTCATGCCTTTAATCCCCTTGATGAATCTGAATAAAGCAAGAACAACAGTGATTTGTACAGAATAACATGGTACCATCATTTATTTCGTTGACTTCTCATCATCTGCTTACAGCCTAAATAAATTATGAGGTTTGTGTACAGGAAAGTTTTAGCATACTTGCAAATTTTTCATGGTGTCAGTTGACAGAAGGTTCCGCAATTAGTGAACAGTGCTCAGAAAATTGCGCTTATGTAGTTTATTACACTGGCAGTTCAAGTGTAAACAAAATGTATGAATACAATGGTAAAGGAGTGACATAATAAAGATGAGATGTGCGTTAGATGCACAGTGACTAATAAATTAGGTAACAATGTATTGAGTTCAACTCAAATAATAGAAACAAGAGACAAGCAAAATTACACCATGTCAAAGGAGTGAGGTTAAAGCCAAAGATTATGTAATCGAATGAAAGCAAGAGAATAACGACATCCAGTTACCAGGGCAAGGAAAGATTAATAACTGCTTCTTTCTGAACACATAAATCTAGTTTCAAGCGCTTGATAGAAACTGCTTCGGCAATTTTGCGGAGAATCGAGCTCTTTTGTCTATTGATAATTTTAAAAGATTTCGCAATTTCCATCTCATGACTCGTATCGAGATGTCTGGCAATAGCGATATTATAAGAGTTTGTTCCCTTGAGACGTAAGCTTTTCAGCACACGTTCAGAAAATCGGAGGTGTGCCCTTCTTTCTGTTCTCCCAATGTAACTGCTCCCGTAAATTTGTATACACAGTCAGAGTTGACATGAGAAGGGTATCTGTCGACTTTTGACTGCACCAAAGGGCATGCTGTTCGATGGATGGGAACAAACTTAGCTGAAGAATAGGCTCTGGCTAGTGACGTATTCAGTCTTTTGTTGACCATTGCTGCAATGTTTTCACCTTTAAAATCTAGTTGAATGAAGACAGGCTTTTTTTCAACTGTGATTTGTTTGGTATTTGAGCCTTCACGTCTTCCATATTTGTTAATGAATCTTTGAGGATAACCGTTGTTTTTCAACACCTTTTCGAGAATCATAAATTCTTCCTCTAGTTTCTCTGCAGAGCATATTCTCCTCGCTTTATAGAAGAGAGTCTTGACTAGTGCTCGTTTATAGCCATTTGGACAAAATCTATTAAAATGTAAGTATTGTCCATTCCATGCCAGCTTTCGGTAAATTGATCTCTGGAGACTACCATCTGCTAGGCGTTGCATAGCAATGTGGAGGAAATGGAACTTTCCATCATTTTCATGTTCTATAGTAAATTCAGTATTGGTATGTGCATCGTTGAATAATCTGAGTAGGTAGGAAAAATGACTTTCGTTGTTGTACACTACATATATGTCATCGACATATCGACAATAGGAAGTTGTTTGGTCAATTGCTGCATGCTTCAACTTCGTTTTCTCAAGGTTTAACATGAAGATATCTGCTAAAACAGGGCTAATTGGACTGCTCATAGTTACACCATTTATTTGTCGGTATGTTAAAACTTTTTTGTAATTTTGCTGTGATACATTCCTTCTTTGTTATAACAAGTTTGCTTTGAGTGATGTTATATTCTTTGTTTGTTCACCGTGTGTCTTCCGCAAATTGAGTTACCTTTAACATATTATTTCTTTTTCCATGCTAATTTTTAGGCTCCACAACGTACAAATAATTTGCGGGGTTCTGTCAACCGTAAACGACGTCATGATGATACTTTAACTCCATCGTCTCCACCTACTATGTCATCCAATCTATGTTCTCGAATCAGTCGACCGTCTACTCCACCTTCACAAACAGGAACATATCTAGCGCCATTTTCTGAATCTTATATACCATCTCCTTTTGGACGTCAAAAAACAACTCAACTTCTGTATCGTCAAGCGAAACTATGGAATATTGTGAGACGACAACACGGTATAATGGTATTGCTTTATCATCTAGAAACTAAACAACCCATATCTGAGGCTGATAGTGTTCGAACATTAGCCTGTCGGGGATTAGTTGGACTTGCACGCTCTGAAGAAGTTCGTAGTATGTTAGCTAAACTCCCATTGTTTACAAAAGCTCTTTTACAGTGTAAGTTAATGTGTGTATGGATTAACTATCATGTGAAAAAAAAAATATTTTTGCATCGGGTGGTTCAATGGTAGAATGTTCACCAACCACACACACCTGGTTTAGGTATGATTTCGAGGCAATTTACTCCTCCTCAACCTCGCTTAGGATGTAGTAAGTCAGGTGAAGAGGGAAGGTCAGCAGTGAGATAGGCTGAGAATAAACACCTCCCCAGTACTCCCTGGTTTCCAGTGATCATTTAACTGATGTTAGTTCGTGATCTAGTGTGGATCAAGTCATTCATTTGCAGCTGAGTGTGTATGCCTGCCTACCTTACAGATGTTTTTATATCTTCGTCAGTCTGTTTATTTTTATTCTGTCGACTTGTTACCAGGGAATAGTCTTATGGACTTAGAATATGCAAATGATATAGTTCTGTTAGAGGAGGATGCTGACAAAATACAGAGTCTTCTGAACACCTTGAGCAGCGATCTTCGTATGTTTGGCGTGCGATTCGCCCCTGAAAAATGTAAGATGCTACTACAGGACTGGACTACTACAACTCCTAACTCAGTGATAGGGAGTGAAGTGATAGAACATGTTGACCACTTCACCTATTTGGGAAGTTGTATCAGCACCAACAGACTGATTGGCGACGAAATCTCAGCACAGATCCAAAAAGCTCGAGCTGCTTTCGCTGACTTACACCATCTGTGGCGTAGGCGTGACATCCGGTTATCAACCAAGAGACGTGTGTACTGCTTAGCAATTCGCTTCGTCCTTCTCTATGGCTCTGAAACATGGCCAATACGAACGGGTTGAAGACATGAAAAGGTTGACTGCTTTCGATCATAGATGTCTGCGATCTCTTTTTCAGGTTAGGTGGTTTCATAAGGCAAGTAATGCTGACGTTAGGCATAGAGTGTTGGGCAGGCAAAGAGGGAAAATCAATCAGCGAGGCTATAAAGTTACATAGATTGAGATGGCTAGGTCAGGTGCTGCGCATGCCTAACCATATTGGTGCAGGTTGGAAAAGAGTGAGTGGTGGCCAAACAAAAACATGTCACCAATCCATGAAATCCTTGACAGTTAAACTGAGTCAGGTAGGGAGATGCAGACTTCCGGGTTGGGGCCCTCGGGACTGACTCTAAGAATCAATGACTGGAGACAATAGGTGACATGGCTCAAAATCGTTGTCAATGGCCAGCGCAGATGTATTCAGTCTCTGTAATCTTTCATATTTCTTTCTACCATTACCCATTCTGTTTCGCTCTTATACCTGTCAAACTCTATTGATTCCCTGTTGAATCCAGACAGACAGACATTGATTCTCTGCACTCATCTTTTTGTCTACCTTTGTGTGGTATTTGGAACGTGGCAACTCGAACTGGTGCACTTCGGTGCCAAGTTCTATGTTGAATCTAGACAGACAGACATTATGTAGGGACAGTTATTCACATGATCTCAGTATTATACATCTTGTCATTCGCCAGTTGTAGACTGTGTGCTAAGTGTTCAGATGATAAAAACAACTTATTCTTGTCTATTTCTCCCAGTATGCACTTGTCGTTTTATCGACACTAAAAAGCTTTTTTCACTTTGAGCTGACTTTATTCTATGTTATTCCTGTGTCTTAATTTGTTTTAGGTGAAGTTACCCAATATTTGAGCTTGATAGTATTATTCATTGTATTTTATGTACACGTATAACTTATTTTTGCTTATGTGTAGTGCTCATGAAGGAACCTGTTCTGCCTGATCGTTTGACTGAACATGCAGAATTCTGTCGTTATGCTACCATGCTTATACGCTTGGTTGTTGGAACTCTATCAGATGGTGTATTGTCCGGTGATATGTCATTGGAACGTGTTCGTAGAGCGGAGATTGTTGCTAAAACAAGGATTCAATGGGATCAAGAAGAATTATTAGAATTGATATATCGTCATTTACAAAGCAAAGGTGATTATATATGCGTATACATATGGCCTATGTCTATTCGCACACTTTATTCTATAGTATTTTTGGTTTTGTTTATTCTGATTTTGTCGCTTCATTGAAGATGTTTTATAAAAAACTTCTTGAGGCTTTTATAAAATGTCCCAATTCGTAGACCTAGATTATGTTGTGACAGAATCTTAAGTTGATTTGTGAAGTAGCTGGACATTATAATTACACTAATTGAAAAGATATGCAACATTCGAACTGGTCTGTGTCTATACGTGTTTGATAGTACCTTGAGTTTTTCCGATCACCTTATATTTAGTTAGAAGTGTTTTGTTTTGCAGATATTCTCAAATGTAATACCTATTACGTGACTGTTAAAGTTACATCTTAGAGGACATCTTAGACATTTATTTATTTAAACGCATATGGCACCAAGAAGGATGCGCCACACAATAATAATAAAACAACATAGATCAAAAGAATAAAGGAAGGAAAAGAAAAAAATATATAAGTAGTGAACGGATAAAGAACTTCATCTGGAAGGAAGACAGTCATGCTTAACAAGTTCAAACAGTGTTTGTTAACTATCATCGGGAAGGGAAGAAAGAAGGAAATTGCAACACATTCGCCATTGATTACGATTCTTGGCCATATCCGATAACGTTTCGAGCCATCGATTTGAGCTATCTCTCGGACCCCAACCGGGGATTTGTGACACACCAACCGATGCTAATCTAGCACAAAAATCCTTCATCCCACGACGCCACGTCATGGACTGACCACCTCTCCACCTTTTCCATTCCGTTCCAGGGTTAGCGAACACAGACCTGTACGGAATCCTCTGGGATGACATTCGCAGTTTATATCCAAGCCACCGGAGCCGATGTTTGGAGATGACGACACTCAATGAATGGTGATCTCCACTCTGTTCAAACACACGCCACCGAACCTCATAATTACTCACGCGGTGATGCCACCAAACGCAAGCAATCCTGCGAAGACAGCAATAATCGAACACGCAGAGTCGCCGCACATCCTCAACTCGGAAAGGCCAGATTTCACAGGCGTAGAGCAGCGCAGCCCGCACCGAAGCATTGTATACCCGACCTTTGACAGCCAGGCTAACGTCGCGACGGCACCAGAGGTGGCTCAAGTTGATGTATGCCACCCTAGCCTTCATTATACGGTTGGAAATCTCATCCGTCACCCCTCCGCCAGCACTCACACAACTACCCAGGTACACAAACTTATCAACAACTTCAAGCGGTTCACCCGCAAGAGTGAGTGCAGGTACAGGCTCCCGCCAATCTTGTAACAGTACTTTGCACTTAGACGGCGCAAAGCACATACCATACTTACATACACTGATTGCCAACTGATTAAGTGCGATTTGGGCAACCTGCATGCTATCGCACAGTAAGACGATATCGTCTGCATACTCGAGGTCGAAAAGTCTATCTCCAGGTAGCAGATCTACACCACCTTCACGCACATCCTTCAGAGCTGACTCCAGAATGTCATCGATGGCGAAGTTAAAGAGAAATGGAGAGATTGGGCAACCCTGTCTAACCCCACTGTTGGTTGGGAACAGTGATGATAGTCGGTTGTATGCCCTCACTCTACCTGAGGTATTTCTGTATAGGGCTTTCAAGATGCTAACAAATTTCTCAGGTACACCTCTCTCTCTCTCTTAGACATCCTATTGCCCTTAAAGTAGTATCACCTAATAAACACAGCATAGGTTAGTATAGCGTTTAATTAAAGGAGCTGATTTGATAAGGTTGTAAGTATCAAATAAATGGAGTGTTTGAAACATGTATTACACACATTTACTCGCCATTCATCTCATCTTGTACTTGTACAATTAGACTGGAAGAATGCTGAAGGTATTCAAAACACCTTGTATTATTAATTCATTTAGTTGTTTACTGTGGTTTAAGCTATGTTAAAAGGTATTTCCATTGGTCAGTAATACTGAGGTTAGACCGTCAAGTGTAATTATTGAATAAGCGTATGCTCAAGTTGATTATGTAACAGATTGTTGAAGAAAATAAAACGATTTGGACAATGATAAATCTTCATTTTTCCCAAAATTATGCATTATGGAATCAATGTGTTGCAACCATTTCTACCTTTCAATTGTGTGAATTAATTTTCTTGGCTAATTATCACCCCATTGACATGTTGATACTGGCCAATTATTGTTAACAAACATATCAGTGCCAATTGATTGGACACCAGTAACTAGTGTGATGTGTTTAGTCCTTTTTCTTTGGTGCAGACTGAATTCTATCAGTCAGGTTTGCAATGTGGCCACCATTTTAGGTAGATCGCCATCACGGTACACACTGATTTGATGATATTAGATAGTTGGAGGCAATCGGCAGGAAGCCTTGAACCTAGGTTTCGTGCTAGTTGGCACTCGTCAGCAAGGTGTATCTTCAACCCTGATAGAACTCATGTCTCTTCTGAGATTCGGACCCGCGTCAGCCCAGTGTCACATTGGAATCAGAGACGTTACCACTGAGCTATTTGGGCTCGCGACTGCCCCCCTGTAGGACTGTAGTGGATATTTTGATTGGACACTAGTTCCTTTAAGGTTGCAGATATGCCCTGCTGACTGATGAGTGCCAACTAGAACGAAACTCAGGTCCACGACTTCCTACCGATCACCTTCAACCACCTAATATATCCCCACTTGATTGGCGAATTGTTGGGTATCTTTTTGCTTTCTAAATGTGTGAATGGGGATTTTCTCTATATTCATACCATTGAATCGTACGCTACTATATTGATGACTACAACCACCACTACAAATAATGTTATTTTGCCAACTGTCCTTTTAGCTCTTCTATACTCCAACCTCCTTAGGTTTTGCAGGACATAAATCTTATTGTAACTGCGAAGTTTTTCTTTGTTTTTTTAAAGTTAATTATCATGACTACAGAAGATGTTTCCGTATAGCATTGTATTCAGTATTCGAATGAGGTGAATGTTTTAATAATAAAAAAGAGAACCTTATAGTTCTTGTTACTGTTTCAATTTTGGCGACTTTTTATAAACTCCGACTTTATCACAGACTGAACCGTCGTCGGTCTAGGAGTGAATTAACTGTAGTTGGATGTAATGTATTGTTGAGTTTCTAACCTAATAGTAACCTCAAACCTTGATGACGGTCTCTGATGCGTACTGATATATCGTTTCATGAAACAGTTATGCATTACTCCTCGCTTGCTTTGCTGTATTCCAGATGACTAAGTTCATCCTGAATTCATTTCAGTCCAAAAAGTGTAAGAAACGAAGGCAACACAGACTATCGACTAATACTATGTTACAAGATGGTATTATATACTTGCGAAAGTTTACCTGAAGTTAATTGACTACATTAAATATTAACGTTACTTTTCAACTGAATAAGCCAGCACTTATGATTGAGGTTCATAGGAGTGTTTGTATTCACGAGTAGGTATTGGTTAAAATCATTTGAACTATTGAAAATGTATCCTTCTAAACTGGATCGGTTTCCCTGATTTAATTTAAGCATACTTTTGACTTATTTCAATGTTATCTAATAGTTAATTTTATTTATATTTTTCTTAGCAAGCTATTGTTATTCACTAAAGACCTTACAGTATACATGCTGGAAAGTTACTACTAGTTGTTATTCAGAACTGAGTTACCCGGCACAGAGTTATAAACTACACTTATTGAATGATCACTGATAATATTACTCAGATGTCTGTCTGTTTTCGACATAGAACTTTGCACAAATGTGCGGAAGTTCAAGTCGCCACATTCCGTGTAGCACGCGAAGCAAGAGAAGAAAGTACAAGAAAAGCATAATAGAAACAGTGAGCAGAGGTGTGAGACAAAGGAGTAATAAAGAAATACAAAACAGTTTCATTGGAGATCATAAGTCACAGGGAGTGGATGCATCTGCGCCACTGAGAACGATTTTGAGCCATGTCACCAATTGTTTCCAACCATAGATTTTTACCGTCCCGAGGACCCCAGCCTGGAAGTCTACACCTTCCTACGTGGCTTAGACCAACTGTTGTGGATTTCATTGACTGATGCCAAGTTTTTGTTTGACCGCCGCTAGCTTTTTTCCAGCCTGACCCTATATCCGCTAACATTGCTCGTCGAGGGAGGCGATGGCTTGGCATACGTAACACATGTCCTAACCATCTCAGTCTTTGTAGCTTCACGACTTCGTCGATTGATTTCCCCTGTTTACCTAGAACTCTACGCCTAACCTCCATGTTGCTCACCTTATTATGCCACTTTACACGGGAAATAGAACGCAGGCACCTATGATCAAAGACAGCTAGTCTTTTCATGTCTTCCACTCTCAGTGGCCAGGTCTCACAACCATAAAGGAGGACGGAGCGGACTGATGAGCAGTACACCCGCCCTTTGGTCGATAGTCGAACATCTCGTCTACGCCAGAGTCGGCGTAAACTAACAAATGCGAAACGAGCCCCTTGTATTCGTGCTGAGATTTCGTCAGAGATCAGCCCGTTGGGGCTGATGGTACTTCCCAAATAAGTGAAGCGGTCAACGTGCTCTACCACTTCACTTCCTATTTTTAAACTAGGCGTCGATGTAGTCCAGTCCTGTAACATCATCTTGCATTTGGCGGGAGCGAATCGCATGCCAAACATTCGTAGATTGCGGCTCAAGGTGTTTAGAAGACTCTGCATTTCGTCAGCGTCTTCGCCTAGAAGGACTATATCGTCTGCATATTCCAAGTCAACGAGATTATTCCCCGGTAGCAAGTCAATCCCTGAATCGCTGAAGTCACCTAGGGTTAAGTCCATTAACACATCTATGATGAAGTTGAATAGAAAAGGAGATAATGGGCATCCTTGACGGACACCACTGGTCGTCATCAGTTCAGATGACAGCTCGCCGTAAGCCCTCACCTGGCTGTATGAGTACGAATAGAGTGCCTTAATCAGTGCAATATATTTTCTCGGAATTCCCTTTACAGCCAAGCATCTCCAGAGAACTTCCCGATCGACAGAGTCGAATGCTGCCTTTAGGTCAAGAAATATAATGACTGTTGGACGCCGGTAGGAATGCCTATGTTCTAGAATCTGTCGGAGGGTGAAGATATGATCAATACACCCTCTTCCTGGTCTAAAGCCTGCCTGGCTCTCTCGTGTTTGTGCTTCCCGAGCACCACTCAGTCTACGCATGATTATTGAGCCTAAGACTTTAGATACTATATTAGTCAAGCTAATCCCTCTGTGATTATCACAGGAAGACTTGTCTCCCTTCTTGTATATGGGGATAATCAGTGACTTACACCAACCCGATGGGACTTCTTCTGATTCCCAGACGCTGCCTAGTACCTCAGTTAATCCGGACAGTAAGCTGTCTCCACCGTACTTAAATACCTCTGGAGTCATTCCATCAGGTCCCGCTGCTTTGCCTAGTTTCAGATTGGTGACAGCTTTAGTAACCTCAGTTAGTGACGGAGGACCTGTATCTATATCCCATTCAGGGAGGTGTTGGATGCTCGGAAGGTTGAGCGTGGCTGTGGGCAAATTAAACTGCTCCTCATAATGCTCTTTCCAACGATCCAGTCGTCTATCCTGTGAGCTAATTATAGTGCCATTTTTTTCCGAGATTGTCTCACTAATGATTTGTCTTCTCCCACCCGTTTCCCTGATGAGTCCAAAGAGTTGCCTGGTGTTGCCTATCCTCGAAGCTTTCTCCATCTCTTTGGCTTTTGTCGCCCACCACTGTTCACGGTCCTTGCGGAGACTTTTCGTAAGTTTCCTCTTGTGCAGCTTTCGCTCCTCATTGAATTCGGAGCTCGCCGGAATAAGTCTTCTAGCATCTATCAGTTCGGATGAGGCGGTGGAGATCCAGTGGTTTTTACTCACCTTTGGGTTTACCTTATTCACAGCTTTTACAGCTGTATCTATGGCTGCCTGGATATTTTTCCAAGCTTCTTCAGGGTGAGCACAGCTGTCGAACACAGATATGTGTTTAGCTAGTTCTTCCTCAAATACGGATTTAGTTTCCTGATCGAGCTGGGGACGTGATGGTTTTACCGCCAGCTGTTTCCTACGTCCGTTCAGTCGTAAGCACACCCGAGCGCGGACCAGTGCATGGTCGGTATCTACGCACGTGTTCCAGAAGGAGCGACAATCTCCTACCGACCCACGCCAACGATAGCTTATTGCTATGTGGTCTATTTGTGTCCAGCGTTGGTTTGATGAAGGGGGTCTCCAAGTCAAACAGTGTCTCTCCTTGTGTTTGAAGTTAGTGCTTACAAGAAACAAATGATTATCAGAGCAGAACTGTAGGAGACGGTCACCGTTGTCGGTTCGCTGGCACGGAACTCCATAGGTGCCACCGACATCCTTCTCAGATTGACACAATTTCCCTACTTGAGCGTTAAAGTCACCAGCTAGAACGACTATGTCTGAGCGTTTAGCCTTTCTCACCAAACTAGACAGCTTTTGGTAGAACTCATCCTTCGTTTCATCTGAACTGCAGTCAGTGGGGGCGTAGGCGGAGATTACGAAAAGGCATCGGCGAGTAGTGCAGTCCTTCCTCCTTCTTACTGATCCGTTCAGGCGGACAGCACACATTCGGCTATCTACCGGGATCCAGTCAAGCAATGTCTTTTCTGCCCTAGTACTCAAAGCTATCCCTACGCCAGCTAATCCTCGTGAACTAGCTGTGGCATCTCCTGACACCCTCAAGGTGAATTTTGCAGATTCAACCTGTTGGCCAGGTGGGGTTAGGTGAATAACCACACTTGGGTCTTGTATGCGTGTTTCTGAAACACAGCATACATCAATGGCTCGTGATGCCAGGGTCTTGGCTAGTGATGCTTGTTGTCCTATTTGGCAAAGTGTCCTAACATTAAGAGCTCCTATATGAAATTGGTGGCGCGGCTTTAAGAGGCTGTCGGTGGTGGTTTTTTGGCTTCCATCGTTTTTAGTGGACGCAGAGTGGAGAGGAAGTGGAGAGCTATCAAGTCGAGGAGTTGCATCAGTGGAAGGAAGGCAAGATGATAGAGATGAAGATGAAGACAAAGATGAGTGAGTAATAGAGAGGTTTCGTGTGCATTTCGGATTGTGAGGGCGATTGTTACTTCCCGGCTGCCCACACCGTGGAAGTTGGTTGCGTGACCGCAGAGCCCAGGGGACAACTGCTTGAGGCCGGTCACACGCGGCCTGTTTTTGTTTGTTCTTTTTGTTTGGTGTGTCTCAGTAGCAGATTTATCACTCCCGCCCTGTGACACGGCAGCAGGAAGCGCGGTCGTTGTTAATCCGGGCCACGGCCGATCCGGCATGAAATTTTGTAATTTTGTATTGGACATGATGTTGGATTGGGTAGCTGCTTTTTGTTTAACCGCTATCCAAACAACCTGCCTGGCATGGTAGAACCTCAAGAGACATAAGTCTCAGCCAGTATAGCTTGATTAGGTCATTGCGGTGTTCAAGCCCGACCACCACGTCAAGGTAGCAGCTTTCGGTCGGGAATATTACTCAGATGCTCAGGTTAAAGTAGGTGAGGTGAGATTTAAACCTGGGATACTCGAGTCAATGATCTGCACCACCACTGAATGTCGAAAATTTATCTCAAATTTCTACGTACTGAATCTCTTATACACTAACTGATATTTATCGATCTGAAGACACACAGCCATTGAATCAAGTAATAATACGTTTTTCCACAAAGTAATAGTTGTTGAGCGCCATTATAAATATGTTTAGTGTCCTTGCAGCCTAGGAAAACTTCATACCTTGTTTCAGGTTACAAGATCTTCAGTAAACGATCTTATACATGTTAATTAAATAACTTTATTTTCTATTCTGCTCGTATTTTTGTTCACTTTCACGCACATTGTAGGTTTATATGAATCTGCGACAGCACTTCAACATGAAGCCCGCCTAAAGATCCTTCCTGCTGCACCCAGTCAACTACCTCTGTATGATGATTTCAGTCGACCACCAGGTGAAACACCTCCATATCAACCTTGTTCTGGGGTTGTACACCTTTCTGGTCATGCAAATACCGGTATCGATTTGTGTGGTAGTAGTTACAAGCGAGATTTCGATGCTAATGATACAGTTTCAATGATTTCTTTCACTGACAGTATTGGTCCTACTGGTGACAGCACTGTCAATGCTAATAGTGATCCTCCACCAACTCCAAGTTTAAGGTTAACAAAAATTCGGCATAATGGAACTCCTAGTCAAACACCAAAGGTAAGAATTTTGTAACTGCACACTGCTTACGTAAAATGTATAGTCGTTTTTATAGTGTTTTCTATGTTAGCAGTAGGCTATAGCAGTGCACAGCATATTTTTTTTTACCACAACACCAGATGAAGAAGTATCAAATATATGATATTCCTTTTAATGAAATTGAAATCGTTATAAATAAAGCAACAGTTATTAAAAAACACAACTGGGTCAAACATTTGATTGGTGAATGGTGACTAGCAGTGGAATCCAGGATGCACTTTTAGTCCTATTTGGGACTCGTCAGCTGGATGCACCTGCATTTCTCAGTGAGTGATGGGTCTCAGTTACGTGGAGGAGATTTTTCACGTACAAAGCTATGGGGTGGGCACGCTTTTAGTGTCTGAGGACTTGTGGTACTGCGCAGTCACTAAGGCTAAATGTAAATGGGGCGGGTTTCAAACTCGGAACCCAGTATCTGAAAATCAAGTGCTTGAGACAATGGGTTAATTAATTATAATTTCTGTCATGATATCACTGTATTTATATCACCGAAAATTATTTGTCACCTACCCACTAACAGAAGTTGTCTGCTACTGATATCCGTCATCCGTGCAACGAGTTTGTAAGCAGATTTAACTGAGTATCAAATAAGTTGTGTGCATGTTTTTCTGAATTGGATATCAGTACAAAATAAATGTGACCTGTAAAATTTACATCGATTATCGTAGTAATTCAATTATCGATGATGATTACACCAAGAAATTATACAAACTAAAACAGACTTCCTTATATAAATTCAGAAGGATCACAAACTGAAATCAGTTAGAAAAGCATTTAACAGCTGTTTCATATTTGTTTAGGACTCTTCAACAATGCAGACTCATGACCCCACCGGGACTCAAATCTTAAGACCTTTAGGTTACGTGGCAAACTTGTTGACCACTCGTCACTGAAATGGAATCCAATGGGCAATGAATTCTCACTTCTGCTGGTTCATGACACGGCCCCACCACTGGCGGTTAAGATTAAATGACTGTTGGAGGATTAATAGTGATTTTGTGCGAAAATTCTCTAAAAGCCACAAGAATTTCCCTACTTTTCAGTTGTGAATTCCATGCTTTTGAACTCCTAGGTGGTCAAATACTTCATCATTGGGATTCTACTTTCTATACAGATCGCTGAAGTCATCTGTCTAATCGGTGATGCAACGGAATTTTACGTATAAGATCAAGAATTGGTTTATTGTTGTATGAATACTTAATACCATTGCATCGTATTCTGTAAACAATTATATTATTCTTCCTATTTTTTTAACTTCAGCCTTGTCGTGACAGATTTGAAAGGCCTGGTTTACCGAATCTTTATCTCAAACCAGTCTCAACTCAACCTGTCTCTGAAATGACTTTATCTAAGGTAGTTGAATCATTTCTTCTGCATCAACACGCTCAATGTCCTCATCCAGTTTCAGTTTGTCCAAAATTCTCTTTATACCATCCGCATCGATGTCCAGAACCACGGCCTAATAAACAAACTAACTGCTGTCAACACCTAATGTTGCGAGAAAGGTATTATGGTTCAATGAAACTGAGACCATCGACCAAGGAGCTTAGACATTTCTTGCATCGAAGATTTCAACCGATGGCAGTTATCAGAGAATCTGATGATGATTTGTTAACAGCTTGTTGTTTTTCTGTAAGTGCATTTCATTTATCTCTCATCGTTTTGTATGCCGGATATCAGAAATACTTCACCTCAAGCTAAATAAACAACCATAATATTACTCTTTCTTTTATTATGAATATTATTATTCCTTCAGGTTCCGGTTAGAACGTAGGGCGTCAGTAGCAAAGCTACATTTTGTCCTCCACGACAGCCATATAATGTTACCTCTTCACACGATCTTCAGTGTGTTGCTCGCGGGTGTTTCACTCACTGTTCGCCATTTGGGTCCCATTCGAGCGTTCTGTGCACTGTGCCTCTCACAACACTTGGTAGGCTTGTTTCCGGAATTCCTTGCTGCTAATCGTCTCTGGCCTGCTATCTGATCTTCAATATGGAGCGAATACACCTATAATTAAAGTCTGCATCCTGTTGAAAAAAGTGCTTTTCGTGAAGACACACACACACCAATTCTATGAACCAACATTAGTGTTGAAAGTCTGAATCTAATTCTTTATGCTAGGCGCAGTGGTTTTTCACATTGAGTTCAGAACAATAAATGCCTATCTTGCCTTTCAGATCCTGACTGGTTTTGACATTATTCGTAAATAGAAAGTTGTATGTTCAAATTGGTGAACCACTATACCAATGCAATGTTATATCTGTAGGAAGTAACCCCGTATAAATCACGAATTCTAACCAAAAATGCAGTGGAGTTCTTCAAAAAGCTATTAAGCCTAAATTTGAAAGTCTTCTGTTATGTAATTAAAAAAGAACTCAAAGTATCTTATGAACAGGATATAATGTGCGACAATGTATTGTGTGAACATGGGGATTACAATTCAGTTGGTAGTTTACGGTACTTCTAGTAATTATCATCATAAGATTTAATGATTTAATCTATTCTTAGTAATGCATACTTTTAATGTCATAATTTCTATGCAGTTTTTTTGATTTACAACTGTCTACCTTTGTATACTACATGAAATGTGATAGCATGAATTGATGAACTTTCTTGCAGCCGATTACGCTGAAAACTCAACCAATTTCAGTTGTTTATCGTTGAATTATTGTTTAATTGCTGCCATTTTCTCTCCTTTTTTCATTTATTCAGCAAACAGATGACGGGTTGTTCTTAGGTTCAAATTCAGGAGCTATTGCATGGGTCAACGTGGAAGAAGATGGTTTACCGATAGAACTATTCCATGGGCAAACATCATCTATTCGACGCTTGGCTCACACACGTGATGGTGAAAGATTGTTAGTCTGTTCTGAATGGGGTGAACCGGCTACAGTGGTCGCCAGACTTAGACCAGCTATAAATACAAGCTCAAATTCGAATAGTCCTTGGGAAACCATCTCGGAAGACTTTGTGTATGTGGTTTATGTTGTCTGTCTGATATGTATCGTTAACGTTATTTGTTTACAAAGTGATGCTTATTTCAGTTCCATTGGTCATTTGATAGAGTGCTGTCTAATGACTATTCATTATTCGGTCCATGAAGTCGTTGGCCAACACATATATTACCTTATCCTTGGTTGAATTGAGTATTGTAATGTCTGTTCGGTAAATAAGAAACGTATCGCATAAAAACTGATAAGTTTGCTGTCTTCCGAATGTTTTTACGAGTTGATCACGGATTGATATCAGTTAGAGAACCACCGAATGTTTACAATTAAATTGAAGCATACGTTGATAGTCGTGTGCATGTGTGTGTCTCCTGAAAATCTCTGTGAATAATTTTCCGTCAGTTTTCTAGTTTTTTTTGTACTGAAGCTGAAAGAAGACTTCCTTGGTACGGAGTATGAGAAAGAGAGAAAAAGACCTGGCGACTACATCCGATCACTTAGGGCACTAGAACTTGAGCCTGAAACTTAGTGATCTCAAGCTGGTTTTATTACTTAACTTGCTATAACTCTGACAACCGTACAAGCTTTCATGCAGTGAAAATTTCCGTATTTGTACGTCTTGTTGTATAACATTTTTGCGTAAATAATCACTTCTTGATATGAAATACAAAGTTCTCGTAAAACTTTTTTGTCGTCTCACTACTAAGTGAAAAATAGAAGAAACAAATACCTTTTAGGTTAGATATGCATGTTTTCGCTGAAATACTCCAATGGTGTCTGTGCTGCTGGGCAACTTTTCGCTTGATGGAAAGGTTAATAGTCAAATTGTAATTGCAAAGTGAAATTTTCGCTGTATAGCATTTTACACAGTATTCATTATCTTTTTCAGCTGGTCCGAAATTACTGGCCTAAACATATACATATATATTTTAAAGTTTAGTTGTTCTGCATAGTTTTTATTAATTATTAAATCGCAAAATTAGTACATTATGAGCTGCGAGAGATGTACCACACAAAATCTGATAGTTGGTGCGAGAACTAAGATTCCGACCGGGTTTCCAGTTCGAAGTAGGCGGTTGTTTTAAGGCATCCACCTCGAGGCTTTTACTGGCAGTTTGGTCCACAAAACAATGGAGCAGCATCAATAGGTGTTTTCCTATGATTTCCGGTGTCCGAAATAAGTTCGACCTGTTTGGGCTCTGGAACCAATGTACACTACCACCCCCCTAGGTAGAACTGTATGTCCACCACTTTTGTGTGGAAAACCCCCAAGGCGTGAAGTTAGTGAATTGGACTTATCTGGCATAGACTGTGAACACGTGGTCACATGAAAGCATTTTTTTGGAGGGGTGGGGGGAAGGGGTAGACCTAAGTCTTTATACCGTTGGTCGTACCAGTCCGCTTATGGGGCATATTAATGATTTTCACTTACTTTTTACAGCCGTGTTTATGTCTTCACTCTCATCCTTTTGATAGGCTACTTCAATGTATCCCAGAATGTTTGTTTTTTAAATTGGGTTTGCTTGACAATATTTGTTTATTAGAAGGACCGTAGATTGTGTTAATCAAATGTAATTTCAGTTTTTTTTTAAATGAAGAGCATTTTTACAAAATAAAGGATTATGCTTTCACGATTTGTATGTTTTTACTTTCAGCTTTCATGTTTCAGAAGCTCGTTATGCAGAATTCAGCAACACAGGGCATCAAGATCGTTTGGTAGCAACTTATGGAAAAATGGCTAAGGTATGTTTTCTGCTCAGTGCTACTTCCGGATTACTATTCTTTTTTTCTCTTTATTTTGTCAAGACTTATTTTACTTTTGATATGTTATAGAGGATTAGATTGTAGATTTTACTCTTAAATGATAGGTTTTGTGTTTAGCCCCACCTTTCTTGTCCCCACCACTCTCCACTTGTGCAGCCAGATATCTCCCTAACCTGGCCCCACACCATGAATATGAAAAATTGTCAAATGCATTTGTATTAACTTGTATATGTTTTATTTAATTAGCCAACAATAATAAAATAATTTTCAGAAGTTGCCCGGCGAAACGATCATTTATTGTGAAAAATTTGACGTCCTAACTACGCTAACTTAACAATTAACAGAATAAGTACCCATCAAATATATAAATGGATACCTCTTGTTGTATATTGTATAATGTTGTTTTTAAACACTGAGATGGGATATATCAGTTTCAAACCACTAACGTTTAATGTCAAGATTCCCAGCTATTGATTGTAATCTGACTAATAAAAATGACTGATTTCAGGATTTCATCATGAGCTGACATTGGTTAGAGAACCATTGAAAAACCTGGGAGTACTGGACAACTGTTTCGTCCTAGTTTGGGACTCTTCAGCAGTACGCACCCGCCGGGTTTTTCAATGGTTCTCTAACCAATGTCAGCTCATGATGAAATCCTGAAACCAATCAAATCCCTGCAAACCAACACTTGAATAAAAATGACTGACCTTTATCTCTTTGATGGTATTCTCTGCATTATCCACCGATCTCCTGGGACAACATTAAATCAAACAGAAAAGCATTTAAATAAATGATTTATTACTGTAACTGCAGTATGTGAAGAAAGAGAACGAAGCTCTTCTTCTTCTTCTTTTGATTCGCAAAATTTCCCATCTGTTGGTCAGATTAATGAGTGACAGTCAAATGAAAGCATACCATAAATCCATCAGGTAGATGAATATTATTTCAAATCACATATAATAAGCTTGGAGTGAGACACATTTTTTAGCTGATACGACTCAAAATCATGAGAATAATATTATATCCATGTGTTATAATTTAAGATTCTATCTACTAGTTTTCCTTAATTTTTTTTCAGTTTTATTCTATCTCCCCTTCTATTTCAAAACGTGATCATTGCAACTTTCAACCAAATTATTAATTCATACCCAGTCTGTCGCTAAACTTAGGTGTCGTCTGCGGAAATGGATGACGTATCCCTATCCGAAACTTATTCTTGAATATTTCATTCATAGCTGTGCCCACTGACTTACATCTTTTCATATCTGTAAAAACTATTTTTATCCAGATCACTAATTTTTGATTACACTCGGATGTAAGTATCTTGAGTTGTAAAAGAGTCGCTTCAACGCTAAATTCACCGCATTTCTCGTAATGATTGTGAACAGTCATGCTGGTGACTTCAGTGAGCGAATAGTGACGAAGATGGAGAAGACACAATTATGCTAGACAATATCCCATTAAGTAAATCAGCTTACTTGAGAATTAGACTATCACAGATTAGTAAATGTGTGACGCTCACTGAAAAGTGGATGTATACAGAGAGGTTTTACAGAACAGGACATATTCGTAGAGGTATTCACATGACTGATCACTTTAGTTGTTGTCATCCAACCGGAGTCTGAGTTGGATGCACACATTGCTTGTTGAGGTGTAGTTGTAGGTGTGAAAACTGTGATAATTCTGATACGGGAGGACTTGACGGTTTAGCTTTGGTGAGGGTGTTTCTAGGTAGTGGTAATCGTTGACTAGATTAACCAAGAAACTGACTAGAGTTTGTAAACCTGGTTTGATTTCCTAAAGCTGATGAGGAAGAGTCTGGTGCACCCGAGTGCTTACTGAAATGTCGGGAGTGGAGAGATAGGGCGTGTTGTTATCACTTCACTTGTTGGATCAGCCTCAATGGACTGACTGACTACTGACGAAATCTACCTCAGTATAGATGCAGGAGGCTCATATCGCATATGCCAACCTGCGTCATTCTCTGGCCTAGACGTGATATCCGGATGTGTGTACTGCGAAACATTGCGCTCTGTCCTTCTTTATGTTTGTGGCGAATAGCCAGTCGTTGAGAGTGAAAGACACGAAGGGGTTAGCTGTGTCTGACGATAATTGTTTTGTTTGTATTCTTATCTTCTACACTTACATTGTTTATCTTGTGTTAAGTGGTATAATGTGGTGAGTAATACTGAAGTAGGCGTAGTGTCAGGAGAAGCGAGAAGGTCAATCGATGTCTTGTGAAGTCACATCGATTGAGGAGATGGCTAAGACACGTGGTGTTACGCATGTCAAGCGACCGCGTCCCTTGTTGAACAATGTTAACTGATATAGGATTAGTTTGTGAAATGGCGTGGGGTGGTCAAATGAAAAGCTGTTATCGGTCCATAGAGTGTTAGACTGTGAGTTTGAGCCACTTAGAATTGTGTAGACTGTGTGATTGGGTCGCTGAGATGTTGAGGAGCAATGGCCGAAGACTTTTGGTGGTATTTTTCGAAGTTGTTCTTCATAATGGCGGTGTGTTCAATCTTTGTGATTTCGCATGTCCACTAAACCACAGTGTTTTCCATGGTACTGTCCTTTCTCCCGTATGTTTCTGCTCATTTTAGTTCCTTTGACCTTCTTTTTTGTGTATCGTGTGTGTTGCATGGACAGTGTCAGTTTTAAATGCTGCGCTTTTGTGCAAATGTCTATGTTAAATCTTATTCAGTCAATATGTTTGTATGAAGAATATTACTATTCGCAATCAGATTTTGTGGATATTCTGAACAAATTAGATTTTTGCTCAGATTCTTGATTTTAATGTCAAAAGTGTAACTGATCCCGATCTTCATAAATCTGGTTGAGCGCTCAGCTGGAATCTATAATCATATGTACTAAAATCGTGCAAGAAAGGCAATTTTCTTCAGTTCACCAGATCGATATCATATGAGAAAGCCTTCATAATCGTAGTTACGCTGGTACTTTGCACGATCATAGTCCCTTCAGGGCTATTCGTAAATTATCCAACACTGGAATATACCGATTTGATCATTAAAAATAAACGTGTATTTATTGGTGTAAATATTCTCATGACAACTGACACACAGATTATTGAACGATGGATACTCTTTCCGATAATTTCGACTTCATGCTATCTACTGTTATATGTACATTCGTATTAAGTAAATAATAAGTTTCCGTAGTTCATTTACATAAACCTTTTTGTAATAACGAATCAGACAATCAACTTTGGGATTAGCAATGTTTGAGTTCTATTACTTACAAAATTCACTGCATAGTAAATACTTTCATCGCAATCATTTGTTCTGCCTGACTTCAACATCGCTTATGACATTTGGTATGCAGCCTTCGAAGTATTTTTTATTTGTAAGTATAATTTACGCTGAATATGTCATTATATACGCATTTATTGATGGCATATCCTACTGACTGGTACGAGTATCTGGGTGCAGTTTACAGTAACCAGTAGTGTTGACTAGCTGAATAGACACTAGCTGATCTAGACACTGGACGACCGTTCATGGTATCAAGCAAATCGCATATTATAATCTGATTAATTTCCGCTTCCAAAGGAATTTTCAGCTTAAACTGTGTAATTTAAAAATTACGGATTTGACTGTCAGGAGTTTTCTCTCTTAACTAAGTTTTAAGAGGGTATGAATTAGAGCATTGTTAACTCCTAAAATAAATTAAATATTATTATTATTTGATTTAATGTTCCCTCGTTGCAAAAATATCTAACATAATTCATATATAATAATGTAATAATAATATAATGTGGTGAGGGCAGGCTGCTAGCCAATTGGTAGACGTTAATTTACGTCAATGTCTAGGTCACTAATATTGGCCGTGAGAAAATATTAACAAGGCTGATTCAACAACCAATCACAGCAGACTCAACATGGGCAAATACGATTCGCAGATATATGGCTTAACTTTCTGAGAAACCAGCCACAGGCAGTACAGAATAACCTTGAGCAAGAAATAACCAATCAGAAGACTGTGTTTGTCTGCTTGAATAGGCTATATTAATGTACATGAAATATACATAAATACGTGCTGATTTCCGTGATAAAACGATATGTTGCCTGATTCTTGCCTTTTGTCGTTACAATACAACTTTATTATTTATCTAATATTGATTTACAACTAAAAAGAGTCTTTTTAAGGAAGATATCGAGAAGAATATTCCTTTTTCAGTGTTTTGTGCTATATATGTAATAAGCAACTGATTACTTCACAAATTATTCCTGGTTTGTTTTCTTAGGTATTTGATCTTACAACTGGATCGCGTGTTGCTGACTTATTTTCTGCAGTGAAGCAAAGCGGTTATGTTTTAAACAAGGCGACCTTCTCTCCCTCAGATCATTTAGTATTAAATGATGGTGTTGTATGGGATCTACGGTGTTCCGGTATGCTTACAACTAATTTCTCAGGTTCTTTGCAACATCCTGGTACATCAAGTAGACCTGTGCACAAATTTGATAAATTCCAAGATATTGTGTCCGGTGTCTTCCATCCAAACGGTCTTGAGATTATCATCGGTTCTGCTGTATGGGATCTACGAACTTGGAGGTTGTTGCATACAGTTCAGGCACTTGATCGTCTTGAAGTTCAGTTTAATGCATCGTATGATGTAATATATGCCGGTGAGTTAAAAATCAATTCCTATAAAGCAGTTTATTCTTATTTAGCAACAAAAAGAATTCGGATCACACTTAAGCGTATTTTGTGTCTTTTCTCTACTTTTATCTCAGGTATATTTGGTTTGGATGATGAAGAATACGCCGAATTAGGAGGCAATCGTCTAGTTATGCAAAATATGTTCCGTACAGTTGACGCTATAGATTATAGTTTGATTGCTTCAGTTGATGTCCGTCATCGTATTGAACAGTTAGCCTTGGATACAGCTGGTCAGTCATTGGCAATAGTTGAAAAAGTTGGGGAGAATAACAATAATGAACCTATTACTCAATGTAGAATCTACATGGTTGGTCGTAAACGCGTAAGTTCTACTAGTCATTGCATTCAACAAATATATTAATTGTAAAATTTTGCGTCAATTAGACTGTGTTAGCGCCTTCATAGTGTTGAATATATACTTTTTACGTGATCATGTATATATTTGTAAAGACCTTCATTGTTTAAAAGATTAATAACCAGTGTTCAAGTCAGACAATCGCTAATCAACAGATTATATAAACTAATATAGTCCAATAGAATAATACTTACTGAACAGTGTTCAGAATGTTAAAATAATAAATAGTAAAAGATCAGAACTGTTGACTAAACTGATTTAGGTATATATTTTTCCTTTTTCTTTAATTTAGCGAAGTTTCAATTGTTTTTAGTTTTGTTCCCTTGGGCTTTGAGGGGAACATAGAGCTTCAACAACACATTTTTTACTTCATCCTGTATTCTGCAATCCTCTTAAGCTGGAGCCACGCTGACTCATAAGCTTTAATCTCTCCCATGTTACCGTCAGACACCTGACGAGTCGTGTCTCTTTTGGGTTCCATTCGGGCTCCTGGCGCTCTATGACACCCACAACGCTGTCCTTAACGCGTGTCTGGTCCATCTCTGTTTCCCTTGGCATATTTGTCGGGCAATAGGTTCTTGATTGGGCTGTTGCCCGTCGGAGTTTCTTGTCGCTCATCCTTTCTGGTCATATAATCTTCGCTATGGAGCGAATGTAACTGTTAAGAGAAGTCTTTAACCTGTTGGAAATGCTTTTGGTGACGCGCGTGCCAAATATCTGAATCATATAGAGGCACTGACCGCGACTTGACATTATTGCTGGAAATCTAAGTCTTGTTCTTTATGCTATGTGCAGTAAATTTCCACACAGATTTCAGATGAATCAATGTCTGTCTTGCTTTTCCTATCCTGCCTTTGACATATTCGTCTGTGTCATCTATAGTCTAAAAGATGCTGCCCAGTTAAGTGAGAGAGATGACTTCCTTTAGATTTTTCTCCCATTGATAGTAATTGGTGCTTATTGTTTCCGGTCAGGTCAGGTATCTTGATTACCACTGTCTTCTCTATGTTCACTTGAAGTTCTGTCTTCGCTGCCCACCTCTTCCGCAAGCTTGTTGGTTTTCGCTTGTAGGTCGTTGAGTTTGTGTGATTTTTCTATCGTATAACTGTAGGTGGTTTATAATCGTAAGATTTTCACAAATTATGCTTGTATAAGTCACCAAAACTTTCCGTTATATGTTTATAAATGGACGTAAATAACTGAATATTTCAGCTTTAATACTTGCCTTTCACTTACAATATATATATCCTGTGTGTCCTGTACATACTACTTAGTTTTGATTTTCAAATACTAAATTTTTTGCCATGTAGCTCATAGCCTAATAATAATAACAGCTTTATTCTGGACAAAATGTCTACCTACACAATGTGTAAAATTCTCAGTGTAATTTATTGCATAACATTTTATCTCTATCCAGGATATTCATAAAGAATATCAATCTGTAATATATTATGTGGAGCAATGCTGTCTGGCCTGAAACATCGACTAATTATTCGCTGTGATGCTTTTTCATCTTTGAGAAATGCACACCGATATATAGTCTGAAAGACATTCTCATATGTGCATAATTACACTTCGAGACTCGAAGATATGATTGAATGAATAGAATAATATGGGAATAACAGAAAGTATACGACGCATAGTGTTGGATAGATTGTTTATTAATTTAAACGCATAAAAACTTGGTACAATATGTCACCAAGAAGGATGCTTCACACAATAATAATAAAACAACATAGATGAAAAGAAAAAAAGAAAGAAAAGATATATATATATATATAAGTAGAGAACAGATAAAGAAATTCATCTGGAAGGAAAACAGTCATGCTTAACAAGTTCAAATAGTATTCGTTAACTATCATCGGGAAGGGAAGAAAGAAGGAAATTGCAACACGTGCAATAGCACGCGATAAGTTTCATTGATTGTTTGTTGCTTCATTCAATTCATTGTGTGAGGGCTGAGATATTGCCCGGGCGCCCAGACCAAAGCAGGTGGTTTTATTGAGGGACCATCCCCGAGCCTTTGACTTGGAGTCTAATCCGCAAGGCAGCGGAGCAGCGTCAGGAGCTGCATTCACATGGTTTCCGGTGACCCATATGGGTTCATACGTCATTTGATCCGATTGGATACTGGAACCCATGTACCCCATGGTTGGATAGATTGAAATCCAGCTGGCCTAGTGATTTGAGCAGGCAGCTAGTGTATGAAGTGCATAAAGTAGGTAGAATACAGTGAATACCTTCCTTCAAAAGCGTCTAGAGTATTTGTTTTTTTTAAAATATGATTCATTGTACATTCAACGCTTTGTTTGTTGCTTCTTTCAGTTTGAACGTGAACCTGAAAATGACGAGGAAGAAGATCGTGGAGATGAAGAGGATGACGAAGATGATAATGACGATGATGATGACGACGATGATGATGATGTGGATGATGACGATTTACTCAATGATGTTGATACTGTTGATCTTGCTGAAATACTTGGTGATGAGTCATTATTAGATGATGAAGTAAGCAGCGGTAGTAGTAGTAGTAATAGCAGTAGTGATTCAAGTTATTGGAGTCCATCTTCAAATGAACGACAACGTGCTGCTAGAAGACGACGACGTGCACGTCGTCGACGTACAGAGGCTACTTCGAATCCTGTAGAATATGTTACTACTGCTACTGCTACTGATGATGCAACAGTGGACAGTGACGCCGAAAATATAAATCCTTCTGTGAATAACAGCCCACAACTTGAGTCCAATGAAATTTTAGACGTTGATGCTGATGCTACTACTGCTGCAGATGATGATTCATCTTGGGAGACGTTGGAAGAAGAAGAAATTACCGAAGATGCAGAAACACAATCAGACAGTTGAAAGTGAAAAGTTACCTGTTCTCTATATTCCCTTTATTTTCGGTTTATCTATGCATAATGTTATGAATATTCCTCCCTTTGTAAAAAATAAAGATTAACCCCATTTTTTTGTTAATACATTTCCTATATTAACAATAGTGTTATTATTATTATTGTTGTTGATGTTGGTAATCATAGTAGTCTTGTGTCCGATTGTATTGTTTCGTTCACACTTCATCTTCACGATTTTGTTCTTCGAATTATAAATATATATATAAGCGATATATACACGTATATGAAGAGTTTCACGAATTGACAATGCTTATTGCTATTTATACACTGCAAAAATTCAACGCATACGTGTGCCAATGAAGATAAATATGTTGATGATTATTAAATTACAAAACCATCCTGTGGTATACTGTTGTCGCTGCTACCACTGTAAATAAAATGTTAACTGACACGATGTTGAGGATTGAAGTGTACTAACTACGTCGTAATTCTTAACACGTGTTTTTTTAACGCACACATTTATTACATCTGATGATAACTTTTTATTGTCATTATTAATATTATGTGTGTTGCTTATAGTCTACACATACATTACCAGTTGAGAAATACACTGTTTGAAATCACTTCATTATTCTGATATAAAAATAAGTTAGATTGGAAAGCAGTTATCTTAACGTTAAATTATTGGCATAAGTCGCAATGATTGTGAACAGTGATGCTGGTGACTTCCGTGGGCGAATAGCGACGAAGATGGAGAAGACACAATTATGCTAGACAATATCCCATTAAGTAAATCAGCTTACTTGAGAATTAGACTATCACAGATTGGTGAATATGTGACGCTCACTGAAAAGTAGATGTATACATACTAGCTCTGAACGCACATCAGAGACGTTTTACAGAACAGGACAAATTCGTAGAGGTATTCACATGACTGATCACTTTAGTTGTTGTCATCCAACCGGAGTCTGAGTTGGATGCACACATTGCTTGTTGAGGTGTAGTTGTAGGTGTGAAAACTGTGATAATTCTGATACGGGAGGACTTGACGGTTTAGCTTTGGTGAGGGTGTTTCTAGGTAGTGGTAATCGTTGACTAGATTAACCAAGAAACTGACTAGAGTTTGTAAACCTGGTTTGATTTCCTAAAGCTGATGAGGAAGAGTCTGGTGCACCCGAGTGCTTACTGAAATGTCGGGAGTGGAGAGATAGGGCGTGTTGTTATCACTTCACTTGTTGGATCAGCCTCAATGGACTGACTGACTACTGACGAAATCTACCTCAGTATAGATGCAGGAGGCTCATATCGCATATGCCAACCTGCGTCATTCTCTGGCCTAGACGTGATATCCGGATGTGTGTACTGCGAAACATTGCGCTCTGTCCTTCTTTATGTTTGTGGCGAATAGCCAGTCGTTGAGAGTGAAAGACACGAAGGGGTTAGCTGTGTCTGACGATAATTGTTTTGTTTGTATTCTTATCTTCTACACTTACATTGTTTATCTTGTGTTAAGTGGTATAATGTGGTGAGTAATACTGAAGTAGGCGTAGTGTCAGGAGAAGCGAGAAGGTCAATCGATGTCTTGTGAAGTCACATCGATTGAGGAGATGGCTAAGACACGTGGTGTTACGCATGTCAAGCGACCGCGTCCCTTGTTGAACAATGTTAACTGATATAGGATTAGTTTGTGAAATGGCGTGGGGTGGTCAAATGAAAAGCTGTTATCGGTCCATAGAGTGTTAGACTGTGAGTTTGAGCCACTTAGAATTGTGTAGACTGTGTGATTGGGTCGCTGAGATGTTGAGGAGCAATGGCCGAAGACTTTTGGTGGTATTTTTCGAAGTTGTTCTTTTAATAATAATAATCACTTTATTCCACAACAATAACAATGGCGGTGTGTTCAATCTTTGTGATTTCGCATGTCCACTAAACCACAGTGTTTTCCATGGTACTGTCCTTTCTCCCGTATGTTTCTGCTCATTGTAGTTCCTTTGGCCGTCTTTTTTGTGTATCTTGTGTGTTGCATGGAGCGTGTCAGTTTTATGGAGTAGGTTGTAATAATAGTTGGTGACTAAGCTAATAATTAAGTTAGTCATCAAGTAATTTTTCGGAGAGATATCACGTTAATCATCACGTTAGTTATTAAGTAGGTTATTTAGTAAGCAGATACGTAAGTCATCAAGTGTGTTAATAATTAAGTTATCAATTGAGATATTAGGTAACTTATCAAGTAATATAATATGTCAATTGTTAAATAAATTATGAAGCAACGTACTAGATAAGTTGTGAAGTATGTTATGAAGCATGTAAACAAGCGAGATATTAGGTAAGTTATACAGTAAGTTTTGATAACAGTTAATGACTTAGTTAATAATTAAGTTACTAAGTAAGTCATCAAGTAATTTTTTTGAGAGTTATCACGTTAGTTAGTTATGAAGTATGTAAACAAGGAAGCTATTAGGTATGTTATCAAGCAAGTTTTAAGGTAAGTTGTTTGGCAGTTCACTAAGTATAAAAAAAGCAAGATATTAGTTGAGTCCTCCGGTTAGTTGTAAAGTATGTTAATCAGTTAATAAATAAGTAACTAATGAAGTAATTTATTAAGTAAGTTATCAAGGAAGTTAGCAATTTATCAAGTAAGCAATTACGTAAGTTATTAAGTAAGCTTTCAATTGAGTTATTAAGAAAATCACTAAGTAAGCTATTAGGTAAAATATTAGGAAAGTTAATAAGCAATTTATCAAGAAACTTTTTCGGTAAGTTATTAGGTATGTAAACAAGCAAGATATCAGGCAATTTATCCAGTAATATGTAATGTAAGTTAATGTTAGTTAGTATTTAATTATTAAATAAGTTATCAAGGTAGTTATTAAGTAAGTTATGAAGTATTTTCAAGTATGTCATTAAGTTGGTTATGTAGTAATTTATCAATTAGGCAATTGCGTAAGTGATTAAGTTATGAAGTATGCTATTGAGTGAGTTATTAGGAAAGCGATTAGGTGAGTTATTATGTAAGTTATCAAGAAATTTATTAGGTAATTCCTCAAAAAATTTTCAAGTGAGTTGTCATATCAGTCACTAAGTAAATTATCAAGTAAGTTATCTAGTACGTTATTAAGTTTTTATATAGGCTATTGGGTAAGTTATCAAGTAAGATAATAGGTAATTTATCATGTCAATTATCACATAAGTTATGAAGCAGTTTTTAAGTATCTAAACGAGCAAGATATTAGTTAGGTCATCCAGTTAGTTGTTAAGTAAGTTGAGTTACTTAATAAATGAGTTTTTTAATAAGTTACTCAGTAATTTATCAACGCAGTTTTCAAGTAAGTTTTTAAATAAGTAAGTTAATTATTAACTTAGTTATTAAGTTCGTTATCAAGTAATTTAGAAGTTAAGTTAATAAATAAGTTATCGAGTAAGTTTGCAATCAAGTTGTTAAGTAAATTATAAAGTAATCTAATGAGTTAGTTATTAAGTGAGTTATTCACTTATTTTTTCAGGTATGTCACTAGGTAAGTTATTAAGTCAGTTTTTAAGTTCGTTGTCACTTAAGTTATTAATTATGTTATCATGTATGTCATTGGGTAAGTTATCAAGTAAGTTATTAAGTACGTTATCAGGTAAGGTAATAAGTAAGTTATCATGTAAGTCATCAAGGAAGTTATTAGGTAAGCTATTTACTAAGTAACTGATTAAGTTATTAAATAAGTAATCAAGTAAGTCATTCAGTAAGTTATCAAGATATTTATTAATTAAGTTATCAAGAAAGCTATTAGATCAGTTATTAAGTAAATTATTAGGTAGGTTATCAAGTGAGGTATTAGGTATGTTATCCAGTAGGTTGTAAATTGCATCAATGAGTTAATTAATAATTAAGTGATTAAGTATGTCATCAAGTAAGTTATTTATTAAGTTAGTTGTCACGTAATTTATTTAATCATTTATTAAACAAGTAATCAAGTAAGTAAACAAGCAAATTATAAAGTAGGTTACCGAGTTAGTTATTAAGTAAGTTTTAAAGTAATTTTTCAAGTATATCATAACGTAAGTTATTAAGCAATTAATCAAGTAGGTTATTAAGTAGGTAAGTAACTTATTAAGTTAGTTATCAAGTTAATTGTCAAGTAAGTTATTAAGCAAGCTATTAGGTAACTTATCAGAGAAGTTATTACGTACGTTATTGAGTTATTAAGTAAGTTATCAAGTAATTTTTAAGTGAGTTATCAAGTAAGTCATTAAGTAAGTTATCAAGTAATTTATTAAGTATGTTATTGAGTAAGCGATTAGGTAAGTTATTATATAAGTTACCAAGTGAGTTACCCATTCTGTTTCACTCTTATACTTGTCAAACTCTATTGATTCTCTTCACTCATCTTCTTGTCTACCTCTGTGTGCTATTTGGAACGTGGCAACTCGAACTGCTGCACTTCAGTGCCAAGTTCTATGTTGAATCCAGACAGACAGACAGAAGTGAGTTATTAAGTACTAAGAATAATGATAATATTAATGATAATAATAATGATGATAGTAATTATGATAACAATAATTATAATAATGATTATAATAAGAATGGTAGTAATAATGATAATAATAAGAAAAATTATAATAATTATAATGATAATCATATTGATAATAAGAATGATAATAATAATGCTAATATTAATAATGATGATATTGGCCGGGGGGTGGGGCGAATCGGACTTAGAAACATCCTACGTAAGTAAATTTGATTCATTTCATTCAAAAATACTACCCAATATAATTAAGATATTTTCAAATATTCCCATTGTGAAGATTTCATTGATACCAAGATATAGTTTCATACCAAACCGACATCATTTAGAGAACTACTGGAAACTAGGGAGAACACTGGACAGTTGTCTCGTCCTGGTTTGAGACCCTTAAGCTGGTAAAGAGGGAAGGTTGGGCATGAGACTAGCAACCACATCCTGTAAAAATAAACACTGCTACAGAAACTTCAAGCCACTAGCTTGAAGCCGTATGTTC